ACGCTCCAACGGACAAACCGAAGCCTACGGATGCCCCGACCGACGCGCCGAAGCCCACGGACGCACCGACCGATGCACCCAAGCCCACGGACGCGCCCACAGACAAACCGAAGCCTACAGACGTCCCGACGGATGCGCCTAAGCCCACGGACGTCCCGACGGATGCACCCAAGCCTACAGATGTCCCGACAGATGCGCCGAAGCCCACGGACGCTCCGACGGATGCGCCAAAGCCCACGGACACTCCGGGCGGTACTACAGCGCCCCCGACGCAGATTGTTCTTATCACTCCGGCACCTACCGAGACCAAGTCGCCGATCCTCGACAACCTTCTTGGCAAGACCGACTCGGTGGCCACGACGGCGCCATTGGAAGATGCGCTCTTGTCCAAGGAGACGCCGGCGCCGACGACAATTCCAGCGGTTGTGACGATCAACCCCGATGATCTCAACAAGCTCAAGGACCTCAACAACCTCGGCACGACCGCCCCCCCGTCGTCCGGGTCGAGCTCGGGTTCCAAGGCCGTTGCGAACGACCATAGCGAGAACAAGAACCGCGGCAAGGCAGGGTCGGACGTGACGGTCGCCGACTCCAAGCGCGATGTCACGACCGGGTCCGAGTCGGCGGCCGAGCAAACCGTGCGCTACACGGCATCGGCGGTCGTCGGTATCACGGTCGTCATCCTCGCGTTCTTCCAGTTCCTCGCAATGAACCCGTCGTACATTGCGGGCGAGACAGCCAGCGAGCGCCTTCTCGCGCCCAACGCGTGGGAGCTCCCGCTCTTCGTCTCGTTTGTGCAGCAAGCCAGCGCGCTCGCACTCGCACGCAACGCCAAGGTGCCGCAGCTCTTCTACACCAACTTCTTGGACTCGCTCTCGTGGCTGGCCTTTCTCATCCGCGGCAGCGCGCCGACCAAGGCGGGCACCGCCGCGGTCTCGAGCGTCCAGCTGGTCGGCCATCGCCAGCTCGCCGAGTACGATGCGATTGGTTTTGTGCAATTTGCAGTCCGCTCCGACGTCCGGGAACGCGACTGGTTTCTCCGCGTCTGGGTCGCCTTGCTCATCGTGCTCGCGATCCTCCTCGTGTGCGTCATTGCGACCGCGCTCTTTGCCAAGTGGGCGTCCCAGCGCGGCAACCCGTTCCACACCGAGACGTCGGACTCGCACAAGCGCAGCGTGAACCTCCGGTCCATCTCGCGCCGCCTCCTCGGCATGTGTGTCATCGTCATGTACCTTGTGCTCTTGCCATTGACGATGATCGCGCTCTTTGAGCTTCTCCAAGACGCGTCGACCTCGGGCTTCCCGCACGGCAATGCGATTCTCGCGCTCGTCACGTTGGTGCTCGTCGTCGCGCTGCTTACGTACGGCATGGTGTCGCTCTACCGCTTGACCGAGGCCGGTCTCTCCAAGTGGCAGACGCGCGTCGTCTTTGGCGTGCTCTACTCGTCGTACACGTACAGCTGCCGGCTCTTTTTCGCCGCGCCCGCGCTCGTGCAGATTGCCACGGGGGTCGTCATCGCGTCGGTGACGACGGACCCGCTCACGCAGCTTCTTCTCTTGATCGCCTTGCACTTGGTGTACGTCGGTGCCCTGGTGGCGCTTCGACCGTGCGAGTGCTCGGTGCACTTTGGCTTTGTCCTCGGCGCCGAGGCCATGATCGTGCTGATTTATGGGATCGCTGCCGGCATGACGGACGCGTCGCTCTCGGTCGAGACGCAAAAGACGCTGTCGTATGTCATTCTCATCTTGCTCTGCGTCGCGTTTGTCGGTATGTTTGTGCGCCAATTGTTCCTCCTCTGGACGTACTCGTCGGGCTGGGCCAAGGAAGGCAACGAGTCGTACTCGGGCCTCCCGACGCTGCACGACCACGACATGATGGAGAGCGGGCCTGGCCAGTACACGATCTCGCTGAAGGGCTCCGACTTGAACAGCTCGCGCGGCTACGACTCGCAGCAAACCGACAGCCCGACCAATACCATTCGGATCGTGGACGGCCACAAGCAGATCCAGATCTAAGCAAGAAACACTTTACTACCAGTGTGTTCGTCCTCCTCGTACTATAGTTCATTCCAAGGTGTGGAGAGAGCCGTTCGCGGGCGTGTCTTTGACAGCTCACTGTCTAGGATGTGTGAGGCGCACGTTCTTCCGGGTCGTCGGGGCTTGGGTGCGTCGAGTCGTCGTGGTCGGATGCATAGATCTGGACGCGCAGATTGCGAGTCACGCGGCAAGTTGGGTGCGACCTTCTCGGGGCCAGTGCGCTGCGTGTGTTGGGCGTGGTGTGCACGGACTGTGCCACAATTACGGGCTACTATGTGTGGCTAAATATGGCGTTTTCCACGCTCTTGGGTTTTATTTTTAAATTTTCGGACGGCACCATTCGGTTGTAGTATCCCGCTTTGGCTCTTGGGCAAATTATTATCCAACATAGAAACTGCTGAAAGAAAAAATGCAGCCGGATCGGCGAATTAAATACGGATTCTTGGACCTTTAGTATGAGACTTTGTAAGCAAAGGGTCTCGATGCTGGCATATTTTTAACCCAATCGGATTTTGGGGTGACAAAAAACTCTGTGCAGTGTGAGAAACCAACCTTCAAGCTCCGAGGCCACGGAGCAGCGACCGACCAAGACGATGGACGACGACCTGGGAAGAAGCGATCGCACGAGCTGGGCTGCGCCTGGAGATGGCGCTTCGTCGTCTACCGACGGTGGCGCTGCGAGGCTCCAGGAAGACGGCGCCCGGCGCCCGCGCCACAAGAAGCTTGCGCCGCTGCAGATCCAAAGCAATCCGTTGTCGCCAGGACCGGTCGCGATCGCGTCGAGCTCGTCGACGCCGTCGTCGGACCCCAATGTGCTGTTGGCTGCGCTTGGCGGGACGCCCCGTAGCCAAGCAAGTCGCCAAGCAGCTGCGAACGGGAACTCGCCAATGGTAGCGGGCTATTTCCCCACGGACGCTCCTGGTGAGCTGCAACGGTCGAGCTCGGGCACGGAAGCAGTGACTACGCACCGCCGGAAGCGCGAGCGCGAGCACGACATGGACGTCGCGCGCCTTCTCTCGGAGAAGGACGACGACGAAGAGATGCTCTTGTCCATCGATCCGTCCGAACGTGTTGAGCACCGCAGCACCAAGCTTGTGCGTCGCGAAATTGTGATTGCGTCGCCCGTGGCCAACGACGACATGGAAGACGTGCACGACGACAAACTCGACGCGACGGCCAATGCGACCGAGACGGCGCGGCCCGACGGGCTCCGGCTCGGCTTTGACTTGCAGCCCGTCGACATGATTCTGCACGTCTTCTCCTTCTTGGTGGGCACGGACGACCTCCACAACATGCAGCTCGTGAGCAAGCGCTGGCGAGAGCTCACGTCGCACACGAGCTTGTACCGCCACGTGCCCGACACGACGCCCGATGGCACGATCAATTGGCTCAACTTTCGCAACCTCGGCATAAAAAACAAGGGCACGGAAGGCACGTGCTATCGGTGCTACCAGCGGTCGTCCGGCAAGGTGCTGGCGATGAAGCGCGCGCGCGTGTTTCCGAAAGGCGAGGGCGTCCCGTACTACATGCTCCGGGAGCTCGCGGTGCTCCAGGGCATTCGCCACCCGCACATTGCATCGCTCGAGATGATTAGCCTCGCGAAGGACGAGCTCCACGTCTTCTTTCCGTACGTCGACAAGACGCTCCATGAGATCATCAACCCTACGAGCGATCCGAACGGCGGCCGCGTTTTGCCCGAGCACCAGGTCTCGACACGCGGATGCTACGAAGAAATGTCTTCTCATATTGGTCGAGATAGATTCGCCGGCTGCTGCACCAGCTGCTGGACGCCATCGCGTACTGCCATCGACGAGGCGTGCTCCACCGCAACCTCAAGCCCAAGCACCTGCTCATCGACACGGACGTCGCTGACAACTATGGTATTACATGCATCTTATAGCGGGCATCTTATAGAACACATGATTAGACAATGCGACGTTGCGCATCTCGGACTTTGCGCTGGTGCGCGCGACGGGGATTCCGCGGCGGCAGTACACGATGGAAGTCGTGACGCTGTGGTACCGCCCGCCCGAGATTCTCATGGGCGAGAAGCAGTACTCGCCGGCCGTCGACGTGTGGAGCGTCGGGTGCATCTTTGCGGAAATGGCGCAGGGCAAGCCGCTTTTCACGGGCATCTCGGAGATTGACCAGCTCTTCCAAATCTTCTCCAAGCTCTCGACACCGACATCGGCGACATGGCCAGCGTTCACGTCGCTGCCCAACTACCGCTTTGAGTTTCCCAACTGGAAGCCGCGGCCCTTGGATCGGCTTTTTCCCCACATCTCGCCGCTGGGCCTCGATCTGCTCGGAAAGCTCCTCACGTACAACCCCGACGCGCGCATTTCCGCCGAGAATGCGCTTCGCCACCCGTATTTTGACGCGGCGAGCGCTGGCGTCCCTCGCCTCCTCCCGTCGATCCCGATGACGGACATGGCGTTCACGCTGCATCGGCAGTACGAAGGCAACCCCGAGTACATGGACCTCTTCCACGCGCACCTGCGCGACGCCGAGCTCAAGCTCTGCAAAGAAGTCAAGTACCTCAGGTAGAAAACGATCCCCTCTGCACAGTGACGCACGACGCGACGTAGCCGACAAAAGACACTACGCCCGCTGCACCGCTCGATGCTCGTCGACTGGCTCATCGAAGGTCTGTGCCGACGCTTGATGCACGCTCACATGTCGTTGCTCCTAGTCGTCGACGTGTTTGAAATGTGTTTGCGGACGGCGTTCCTGGCCGTCAACTACACGGATCGGTTCCTAGATGTGGTCATGGTCAAGAAGACCAAGTTCCAGCTCCTCGGCGCGACGTGTCTTCACGTAGCGTCCAAGTGCGAAGATGTCTCGTACATTGGCGTCGAGGACCTTTCAATGTGCGCCGACAACGTGTACACGTCGATGCAAGTGCTGCAGATGGAGGAGCAGCTGCTCAACACGCTCAACTTTACGCTGGCCGTGCCCACAGGTACCTTTTCATTTTCGATGTTTTTCAGAGTTTCGATGGTTTGGGTAGCGCTGGACTTTTTAAACATTTACCAGCGCAGCATGCCGACGCTCGAGAAGAAGACGTCGATGTTGGCGCAGTACCTCTCGGAACTCGCGCTGCAAGAGTACAGCTTCCTCAAGTTTTTGCCGTCCGTCGTGGCGACGTGCTGCCTCTCGCTCGCGCTCTACGCTGTCCACGGCTACTCGATGGTACGTCCAGTCTTCGCGTCTCATCCTAGAATGTTTCGATATAGACGCCGGAGCTCCAAGCCGCGTGCCAGTACACCTGGGACGACCTGAAGGAGTGCATGGGCACACTCACCGAAGTGTACTCGGGCTCGCAGTTTAACGTGCTCACGGTCGTCAAGAAACGCTACTCGGAAGACGACCGGTGCCAAGTCGCGTCGCTCCTTCCGCCACTCGAGTACAACGTCGCATTTTAACCGGTCGCCTTAGTTTTCCCTTTTTCTTGTACGTTAAAACACTCCCTTCCACATCTCGCATCGCTGCACCGCGATCAGGGCGCTCCATTTCCCACGCCCTTCGAGGGCGTCCTATTGCAGTTGAACACTATGGGCTACGCGGCTCAAGACTCCATTTGAGCCGAGCCGTGGACAGGCCTAGCGCGACGATGAATTAAGATGCCCGCCAAGATGCAAGAGATCGTTGGCGACATTCGGCAGTCAGTAGCAGAGTTTCGTCTGAAGCGCCGTCTCGTGCCAGGACTCGGCGTCATACATGCGTCATTCAGGTGTCTCGGACGTCATTCCGCCGTCTCGGACGCTTTGGCTGGTTACGCAACCGCCACCTTGGGCATGTCAGTGTGTCCTCATCTTGTATATATGCGACGGTTCAAAAGCCAGGAAGGGCTATTGATAGCTGCGATGACAACGAGCTCGAGTGCTGGCGCGGTCGCCACGGCCGTCGTCGTTCTTGTCTTCGCCACCCGCACGGGTACGTACTCTGGCTGCCTGCTGCGTTGCTACTCGTCGCCGATAAGAACCTGTACTTAGCGCTGTTTTTGCTGGACCGGTCCCGCTACACCAAGCCCAGTTTCCTCAAGCAAGTGCTTTTTATCGCAGTCACCCTTGTCCTCGGCTTTGGCGCGGTGCTGAGCTTCCACGTTGCGCAAGCCAACGCCTCGTCGACGCTCCCGTTCGAGTCGCTGCAGTTCAACGTGCAGTACCTCTTCATCGCATGCGGCGTCGGCGTCTGCGGCGCCATGGCCAGCGCTTACATCGCGATGGACGACCCGTTCTACTGCGTCACAGACAAGGACGCGCGTACAAAGCTGCTCATGGTATTTCCACCTCGATGGTACTTCTTGCTTGTCTGTGCGAGTGCCACGTGGATAGACGGCTATTGGCGAAAAGATGGCGCTCTCTGCGATGCTCAACAAGCGCAAGACCGAGCGAAAGATCCAGGTCCATTATCCCCTGCCCTTGGTCAGCAGCACGAAGCATTGAGTGTCAACGTATTAGTATCAAGCGCGCTTCTCGTGCCTCCGATATGTGACCGTTGGGTCCATCTTCTGGTCGCTCACCGTGACGGCGGTTCGCTTCCTCGTGACACAGGCCCAGGTCGGCGTGGTGACGACTTCGCCGTGGTGGGCTCTCTGCTTCGCGGCGGGTGTGACCCAATTCATAGCGTGGGTTGCGTTCTGGAGCATCTTTCGACTCGTGCGCACAAGCGAGATTTGATCCAGTATTGAAGTGTTCGTAGATGACCTTTTGGCCCCTCGCAGCGCGCCTTCGGTGGCAAGCGTCGGCGCTGCTCGCCGCGTCAATAGCTGTGCCGCAGTACTTGACGCTCGCGTGCTCGACACACGCGGTAGACCCCGTGCCGGCGGGCTCTGGCGTCGCGGCTCCGACGCTCGTGTACAATGTCACCTTGGCGGCCCTATGTCTCGTGGTCGTCGCTCTCCTGGGGCTACTGCACTGCGACAACCACCGCCTCTTTGAAGACAACAGCGTGCATGCGATCGTGCCGCTTGGCAGCAGCGGACCCAAGCGACATGTGGCGAGCAGTACGCTGCACTCGAGCTCTCGCTCGCTTCGATCGAGCAGTGCGCGCAGCCTCGTGCTGGGCCGCCCGCGCTCGAGTCGGGTTGTTACGTTAAAGTAGCATTAGGAATTAATCTTTGGTCTTGCCTTGCATCTCGTCGGCCTTCTCCGCCATCTAGAGCACTCGCTGAGCGTGGAGAGAGAGGTGCGATGATTACCTTGCTCTGCACTTGGTGCAGACAGTCCCAGCCAACCACGAGCATGCGCGCAATATTCTCCGTGTTCTACATACAAGTCATGAGGCGACGACTCGCGCATGGCACGTTTACTGTCTCGTGGCGGGCCATTTCAATCTCCTTGCGGGCGTTCTCTCGCAGGATCTTCGCCCTATAGCATGGCTATCAGCACACGGAGCGCACCGAATATATGGTCGTACCACGGCTGGCCTTGCTCGTTGGGCCATTGGAAGGCCCGCGAGACGCGGATGATCTCGCGGTACAGCGAGAGGACTTCCTTCTTGGACGTCACAAACTTGGTCATCTTGCAAATGCTGCAACCGCCTCAAAATGGTGCAGCAGGCAGCCTCCTTCCGCCAATGAAACGCGACACGAGAAGTGTGCACCAATCGGACACGAGTATTTGCGCCAATCACCGTTGCGCACATTTGCACCAATGGCATCGACCCAATTTGTGTCGCCCAATCCTGTGGCGTACCATGACGCTTTTTCAGCCAATGGCATCATTTTGCAGTCGGCCACCATGGCCTCGAACGCCATCGTGCCCTTCTCGTACGCCAGGTACCGCACGATGTACACATTGTACAAGCGACGATGATCCCACTAGTCCATTCCATGCCACGCACCTCGACCCGACGCGGACCTTTCACTTTGGCGACCACGCCATCGTGATTGAGCAGCAATGGAAGCCCGACGGCCGCGGCGGGACCAATCTCGGCTTTGGCGCCCACGTGTACGAAGCCGCCATCTTGCTGTCGTTGTACCTGCACAGATACGACCCGCTTCCGTTTTCTCGAATCTTACGTCTCTTGTCGCAGCACACTGCCCGAGCTCGTGCAGAAGAAGCGCGTCGTCGAGCTTGGATGCGGCACAGGTCTCGTATCGCTCGCGGCCGCCGCTTTTGGTACGCGAAATGACCAACTCGAAGGTATGCAACGCTCGGTGGCTAGGTGCTTCGAGTGTGGTGGCAACAGACGGCGACCCGCAGTCGGTGGCGCTGACGCACGCCAACATTACCAAAAACAGCGCGGGCAACATCCACGCCAAAGTTCATTTGTGGTATCATCGCTCTCAACGTTTGATTTATAGAATGGATCTATTGTACTCATATACGTAGGGGCCAGGAACTCGATGATATCGAGACCTGTGACGTGCTCCTTGGGGCCGATATCATTGCGTGCCCGTATGAGCAAGCGTTCGACGACCTCTTGGCGTCGCTGCGGCACTTTGTGGCGACGCCGGCTGCGATCGCGCTCATCACGTACAAGCCCCGTCATGGATCCGAAGTCAAGTTCTTCCACAAGCTCAAGCGACATTTCGTCTATGAGACTATCGCAACGGACACGATGTTTCCCGATTTTGCGCCGCTGGGCATCCAGCTCCTGCGCATTCAGCGCAAACCCACCGCATAATGTGCAATACTATTGTCTGCACACTTTTCGTTGGATGCATGTCTATCGCGGCTGCCTCTTTAGGCGTCCGTGGGCGTCTTAAGCAGGGCCCGCATGATGTCGTTGACCTTCTCGGGGTGCACGAGGCCGTTGGACGCCTTCATGACCTGGCCGATGAAGAAGCCGAAGAGCTGCGCCTTGCCGCCACGGTACGCCGCGACGTTCTTTTGGTTTTTCTAGACAAGCAAAATGAGAGATCGTTTGCACTTGGATACCAAGCGTACCGGCTCGGCAAGCACGGCTTGGCAGTAGCGCGTGAGCTCGGCCACGTCCGTGATTTGCGCCCAGCCCTGCTCCTCGACAATCGCCGCGGGCGGGCGGCTGTCTTCGTAGTACATGCGCTCAATGAGCTCCTACATGTCGCACGCGTTCGACACGATATTTTTCAAACAATCAAGCAAAGGTACCTTGGCCATTTTGCCTGAAATCGTCTCGTTTACAATGAGGTCCACGAGCTCCCCGAGACGGTCGGGTGACACGGGGCTCTCCGCAATGCCCGTGTTGGTCGCTACACACACGTTGGCCGTTGGCCTCTGCCAGCACAAAAGTACCTTTGAGGAGCGAGAAGAGGTCGTTCAGCACCCAGTTGGCCACGAGCTTGTGTGGTCGCGAGTCCACCGCGCAAACGGCTTCGAAAAAGTCGACGGCCGACGGCGTCAGCACCTACGATACAGGGTCACGTCCATATATATACATAAATGCAGTCCACGTACAAGGACGGACGCTTCGTAGGCCGAGAGACCGTACGTCGCACGGAGCCGCGCCTTCATCTTTTCTGGCAGCTCTGGCAGCGTCGCGAGTGCGTCGTCGACAAACGTCGGCGTAATCACGAGCGGCGGAAGGTCGGGCTCAGGGAAGAACCGGTAGTCCTTGGCGCCTTCCTTGGTGCGCATGCGTTTCTAATTCGCCCATACCATGCATGATCCACGCCATCCATATATACCAACGAGCTCGAGGTACCGTCATGCCTGTCGCTGCGTCAAACGTCCGCGTCTCCTTGGCGATGCGCGTGCCCGTCGCGAGGATGTGGTCCACCTGGCGCTCCATCTCGTACTCGACGGCCTTGACGAGGTTCTTGATGCTATTCATGTTCTTGACTTCGACGCGTTCGCCAAACGGGATGCTCGTCTCCTCTTCGCGCGTGCTTGGCTTGGGCCGCACGCTCACGTTGAGGTCGCAGCGCATCGAGCCCTCTTCCATGTTGCCGTCGCACGTGCCAATGTGCCGCAGCAAGTGCTGCACCTCGCGGAGCACCTGACCGGCCTCGGCGGCGCTGCGAAGATCCGGCTCGAAGACGATCTCCATGAGGCCCGTGCCCGCGCGGTTGAGGTCGACGTGCGTCGCGTCGAGCGTGTGGATGCTCTTGCCCGAGTCCTGCTCGATCTGGATACGGTTGATGCGCACGCTCTTCTCGACCCACTCGTCGTCGGCCTTGGACGCTGCCTTCTTGGACGCGGCGTTCTTCTCCTTGCGGCTCGTAAAGTTGGTCTGCACGACCGGCTTGGCTTCCTGGACCTGGAACTTGAGGACGCCTTTGGTCGCGATCGGCGCGCGCTGCTGCGTGATCTGGTACCCGAGCGGGAGGTCGCAGTAGAAGTAGTGCTTGCGCTCAAAGACGCTGCGCAGCTGGACGTCGCTCTGGAGCGCGCGGGCCGTGCGCACGGCTTGCTGCACGCAGGCCGTGTTCACGCTGGGGAGCGTGCCAGGAAGGGCTGCGTCAAAGAACGAAACGCGCGTGTTCGGTACGAGCGAGCCTTTCGTCGCTGCACTCGCACCGGAGAAGAGCTTGGAGACTGACTGGATCTGCGCATGGATCTCAAGCCCAATGCATACCTCCCATGCACTCAGCTTGGCGGCGGCCGACATCACCAACAGATTGCACTTTCTAGACTGTAAATAGTGTATGCAATAAAATGGATATAGTGTGTTGTACGGAACCACAGCGACGTCGGTGCAGTCCACAGCAGAGCTCATGCACGAGGGCGGCACCGGTGCACAAGACATGGTCAATACTCTTGACACGGTGCATAACGAACGTATACACCTCCGACGCGAATTTGGCGATCGAGGTGGTAATTTGGAATGAATTGGTAGTTGACCAAAAATGCGACTGCGGATGGCTCGACGCGTGGCTATAGACCAAAGGCAGGTGCACTCGACGTCGTGGAGAATGAAGACGATCTAGGAAGGACGTTGCGTCGTCACGAGCGATGAGGTGCATACTCGGTACATTGGTTAATTTGGCTGAAAACGTGGCATGGAGCAAGTTCAACCACGTAGTATTACGGGGTGGATAGCTCGCTTCAACGCGCCATGACAGCCAAAAGCGATGGTGAGAGTGACGCAGCATCGCTGCTGCGTCAACACAATGCACTGGAATGGCGTCGTCGACGCCTCGCCAATAATACCAGAGAAGTTCCTGGTCTGCGGAATTTTTAACTCGGCTACCGCCAATCGTTTGCCAACTGCCTGTCCACCCTAGCCGTCCAGTCGAAGAGGGCGGAAATCAGGAAGATCGGGCGGCCGCTCCCAACGATTGCACGAGGTCAAGCAGGGTGGCATGAGGCAACGCACTCCCCAACTACATGGTGGCAACGCATATTGATCCTTAAATATTTTTCGTCACACAGATAATGGCTGCGTTGCAGGGGCGGTGCGCTAGTTGTTGCCATCGTCGACGCGCGGTCGCTTTGCGAGTGGCGCCTCGCCGTCGTCGTTGTTTCGTTCCTTGGCAACGTCCTTCTCGTCGACGCCCCGCAGCTTTTCGATCGCTGCACGCTGTCGGGCGTCGCGTCGGGCCTGGCGCAGCTCGCGCCGCTTCTGCTTGAGCTCCGTCGCTCGCAGCGCTTGGATCTCGTCGAGCGTCTCGAGGCGCGAGCGGCGAATGTCGATCGCTTCAAAGCAAATCGAGGCGATCTCTTGCGGCGAAAACGCCGCTCGTTTCAGCACTTCCATGCGGGCGTCGTGCGGCCACTTGGCCACGCGGCCGCGGCGCGCGGGCGAGGCGAGGAGCGCCGCCACGGTCTCGTGCACGTGGACAGGCGCGAGCCCGATCGGTGGGCCCGTCGCCTCGGGCACGGCGCTGCCGCCGTACGTGAGCGGGAACTCGTACGTCGTCACGGTTGAGAAGCGGAGCCGCTTGGTCATGTCTTTTCGCGTCGTCTCGGAATAGGACTGGGCACTCGCCACAAACTCCGAGCCAGGGTTTCCGTTGGGCCGTGTCTGTTGCCATCTGGGTCTGCATTTCGTTACTATGGTGCGCAGACGGCGGGCTGTCATGCATCCGAACACTGTGATTTTGTATACTTGCGGGAGGCGGCTCGCACCGCGTATTTTATTCCACGCCCTTGGCCGCCATCGCTGGCTCTTGGGTGTTTCTCGCAAATATACTACACCCCACCAGGCATCGGCTCCTCTCCCAACCACTCGCAGCGACCCTGCCTCTGCGGCGCCGGCGTGAACGTGGCGATTCATGCAAGGGGAATGCAGAATAGTGTGCAATGGAGCTAGCCTTCTAAATGACGTGGCAGCACCACAAAGCAACCTGAGCGCGACGTCGAGGACGAGGGTGGACGAGGTGCCAGGCCGAATTCAAGCGAAGCACACGCCTCCGAGAACGATTATTTATTTGACAGAGCGCCCACGGTGTGGTCGCGACACCCGCGGGAAAATAATGCTGACGCAAATACGTCGCGCCACAATCAGTGGTCAATGACGAGGACCTTCGCATGCATCAAATACCTCCATCCAGGCATGAACAATGCCGTGTGCCATCTCACGTGCCACAACTGCCGTTATTGAACATCTGAATGGTGGTGGAGAGTTGCTGATGGCAGCTAGGCCTCGCGGTTCAACTCGCTGCCCCACACGTGCTTGCATCCGCCGTTCGAGTCTTCTCGCTCGCGCCGTTCTGCTTCGCGCACTCGAAATTCCCGCCAGAAGCATTGTAAATGACACAATCAGCATGAGCTACAGCGAGTTCCTCGTCTCCGGGCAAAAGCAAAAGCATAGGGGTATGGACGATAACGTTGGGAAAGCTGGATATCGCCCCCTCTTGACATTAATTTCACGTCTAATTCGTGCCACCAACCCCTCCGGTAGCGGGGTCCAACGTGGCCTATCAAGAATCAGGACGGATGCAATACCTCTCAATGACACAAGTCGCTCAGTCTCGGCGCGCGGGGTCTTCATTGCTGTCTCTTTAGATGTGGCAGTCTTGTCCAAGGCAGAAAAGTATGTGCTTGGAGGCGCCTCTCGGACATCATGGCTCATTGCGGAAACTAACGCATTTGCATGGTGAAGGACGACGTGGGTTCAGAGCTCGTGTCATGTGCAACAACACGGATCCCTTAAGACGGTTCTCGATTTGCTGTGCATTCTGGTGTTGGGGCATGTGACGCAAGTGGGCACTTAAATCGTGTCGACTCGCGCCGCACGAGCACGAACTCCAGTCAATCGTTCAGTACATGAGTTTAGTCGGTCGCGTATGGGCGACTAAGTGCGCCATCCACCCGGAAGGTGCTATTTTAGATCGGCTACGCGCACTAGGACATCGTTTTACCCATTGCGCATCTTGATCCGTATCCTTCCAAGGAACGATCATGGCGGCTGCACTCCACGCCCATCGTTCCTTGGGATCCCCCAACTTGAACTTGGGCGGCTTCAACCTCTAGTCGATCGCGACGACTAAAGTGGCAGGTGCCTCGGACGCATTTGATTGGTCCACTCATGCAGCTGCCAGATCCACCGCAAGAATACCAGGCGCGGACTCTTCAATCTTGCATCAACGAGGTAGAGCGTAATACATGGCGTCGTGGTGGCAGTCGTTTGGCCGCATCAAGCCGCTTCCGAGCACGGTGCACAGCCCGTCGTCGCCGTCCGCGTCGCTCAAGCGCTGCCTCTCGACCTTCGACCTCATCTGCTACGGCGTCGGGTGCTCTGTCGGCGCCGGCGTCTACTCGCTCATCGGGATTGGCGCCGAGATCACGGGCCCGTCGATCTCGATCTCCTTTCTCATCGGCGGCATCGCGTGCATCTTTACGTCGCTGACCTATTCGGAGTTTGCGGCGCGCGTCCCGGTACGGAATACCAGTGTCCTATGCTTGGACGCCACACGTCTTCGTGCTAGATCACCGGGTCGGCCTACACCTTCGTCTACGTGACGTTCGGCGAGCTCGCAGCGTGGCTGATTGGCTGGAACCTCACGCTTGGCTATGGCATCTCGTCGGGTACGTCCGTCCATGCATCTTGACTCGATCTTTACTTTTGTGGCCCAGCCGGCATTGCTCGCAGCTGGGCGTCGTACGTCATCATGTTCTTGCAGGTAATTTCCCTATCTGGTGAGATCTGCCTGGTGGAAACGTGTGAATTTCTGCAGCAATTCGGTGTCGTCGTGCCGCCGTCCTGGGTGGCCATGGACATTGGTCTCGGCACCCCCTGCAGCAGCATCGCCGCGGTCTTGATCCTCGTGCTGAGCGCCATCTTGCTCGCCGGCGTGCACGTACGTCGCCACAGCGTCGCGTCGATGTGAGAGTAAGCGTGCTCTGATACAGGAATCGGCCAAGTTCAATGCCGCCGTGACAGCCCTCAACATTGCCGTCCTCCTCCTCGTCATTGCGGTTGGGAGCTACCAAGTTGAGTCAACCAACTGGGAGCCGTTTGCGCCCAAGGTGCGCGATTTTTCTGCTGGATGAGGCGGTCTAACTGGTCGTTTTAGGGCGTACATGGTATCATGCAAGGCGCGGGTGTCATCTTTTTTTCGTACTTGGGCTTTGACATGGTCGCATGCCTTGCCGAGGAAGTACCGGACCCGCAAAAAAACGTGCCCCGGGGTATCATCGGGTCGCTCTTGATCTCCATGTCCATTTACGTCGGCGTTTCCCTGGTTGTGACGGGGTACGCACCTTCGTTTCGCAATGTCGTGGCGAATGGCGTGGCTGGTGTAGGATGGCACCTGTCTCTGTGCTTGGCACTCAAGTGCCACTGGTGAACGCCTTTGACTTTCATGGCCTCAACTGGGTATGACTTGCTTGTTTTGTAGACGGGTTTGGATGGAAACGTGACCTTCTTGGCTGTAGGTGTGCCACGTCATTTCGTTTGGCTCGATGTTTGGCCTCACGACCGCGGCGTTTACATGCCTTATGGGACAGCCCCGTATTTTCTACCAAATGGCCAAAGACGTACTACTGGAGAACCTCAATTCTTGTCGTCTTAGTTGTCCTATATAGGGTCTGTTGCCCGCGTCGCTCGCGACTTTGCATGCGACCACTCGCGTACATTTCGATTCGTTTGGTTTTCTTCTTATTTACGACGTGGCACGCGACTAGGTGCCGTATTGGAGCACGATCCTCACGGGGCTTCTCGTGGCCGTCATTGCTTTCTTCTTCGACCTCGACTTCCTCGCCAACGTCATTTCGTGCGGCACCCTCATGGTCTCTCCCATTTTCCCTCCATCGTCCTCGTCGCTCACTACCTATATTAGGTCTTCACCTTTGTCAACGCGGGCGTCTTGGAGCTGCGCTTTGAAGCGGACGTTCCGCGCAGCCACGTTTCGTTTCCGTGGCGCAACTTTGGCTTTGTCCTGGCGTCCTTTGCGTTCGCGCTCACGCTGGTCTGGTCCTCGCACTGGCTCTTCCAAGTGGCTGCGGGCCTGCTCTGCGGCGTGGCCTTTCTTGGGCTTTTGTCGGGTCGTCCGCGACCGCTGTACGACCACCATGGCCTTCGAGCACGGAATATATATATATGACGATGTGGACGTAGGTCTCTGGAAGACGCGGGTGCGTTCCAGTGTCCGTGGGTGCCCCTCGTCCCGTGCCTCGGTATCTTTTGCAACGTCTACATGATGACCAGTCTTCCCCTCGCTGCCTGGTGCGTCCGACTCCATCGCCAACGTCTGATTTACGATGTTACGATTAGGGTCGGTGTCGGCGTCTGGATGTTCATCGGCATGAGTGTGTATCTCTGCTATGGCTTGCACCACAGTCTTCTCCGGCACACCACCAGCGTTGAAGCTAGTCCGCTTTTGTAAAGCGGCAATCATCCATACATAAACTTCATAATAACTCCGTCCTCCTACGGCGTCGGATAAAACTCCCGCTTCTTCTCGGCGAGTTCTTGGACCCACTTGGCGTTGGCAGCTTCACGCTCGAGCCGCAGGTCCTCTTGGATGCGCGCCAGCCGCTTGCGCTCTTCGCGGATAAACAGCGACTCGATCGGTCGGTCCTCGGGGCGCACATACTGCTGCTGCTGTTGCTGCTGCTTCGGCTCGTCAGGGGTCTCTTCCAGTGTCGGGTCGTTCGGCTGCTTCTCGGGTTTGGCGGGCGACCCCGACGGCGAGTTGTTGTCGTGGACTATCTCGGCCGTCGACGAGAGCACGACCGATTCCGCGGGCTCGGCCGTTGTCGTCGCGAGGCCGGCGTACCCGACCGGGTCGGACGGCGAGATCTGCAGCGCGGGCGCGGGCGAGCGCACGACGTGCTTGACGTCGTCGTCAACGTCGGTGACGTGCTTCTTGGAGCAGCACTGGCCCATGGGAATGAATACAAGTGCAAAGTGGCGCCTCCACCGACGAAACAACACCGAGTACTGTCGAGAAAGGGCGTTTTTTGTTGTTCGCAAAAGATCCCCGCCGCTTTTACGGCTTTTCGTCGTTCTGATTGGTCCAATCCCATCGCATCGTCAAATCCAAGCAGCTGCGCATCATCGGGCAACCGATCTTAGTTACTAGGCCAAATAAGCTACATATTGTAGCTCCTCTCGCTACTCGGTGGTCGTCTGCTGGAAAAAAAGTACCCACCGCATCTACCTGTGCATGCGTGGCGAGCGGGAGCTCTGCCATCCGCTCGCCGTCGCGATGAGGCAAATCGACCCGGCACTGGGCGATGGAAACCGACCGTTCCACCTCAAGCGCGCTGCTGGCGCCAGCGTGTGCGCTGCGATGGGACCGCATTTTGCAGGAGGCCTTTCCCGCGTACTACAGTGCATGTGTAATAGTACCAAGGACCTTGGTAGTAGCCTCGCTGTGCCAACATGCAGAGCGTTGTGAGCAGATAATTGCAGCAAGCGATTCAAGACGGGCAGCTGTCTACTCGTCTTGCTTCTTGGCCTTCTTGCTCTTCTTGGCATCCTTGTCTTTTTTGTGTTTTTTGCTCTTTTTCGCCTCCTTGTCCTCGGGCGCATCCTTCCGCTTGGTCGTGGCCGCCGCCTCCTTGTGAAAGCTCTTGAGCTTCTTATAGACAGCCTTGACCTGCGCCTGGTCCTCGACGGTCGCGTCGCGCGCCGACTTGAGCTGCTTGACGTGCGCGAGCACGTGATGGATCGCCGCGACTTCGCTCGGGTGTTGCTGGCCGCGCTTGCACTGCACGAGGTACTCGTCCATGCGAATGGACGCATACGTCTCGGGCGCTGACTCGACCGTGAGCTGCAGCCCCGCGAGTGCGAGGCATGCCGGTGCATACAGCAGCGGCGCGTCGGTCAAGATGAGGTCGTTGATGCACGCGGTCGCGCTGGCGTGGAGGCTCTGGAGCGTCGGGATCTTGAGGTCGACGCCGCGCGACTTGTAGAAGGCGCGAATGTCATCGATAAAGCCCGTGAGGGCGCGGAAAGGATGGTACATGATGAGCTGGAAGCGAACGCCTTCGAGAACGATCATCTCGTGCGCAATCACTTGGTTCACGTCGACCTAGACAACGCTTGCATGCTTCGATGCGAGATCCGATCGTACCTGGAGCTGCTCGGAAATCGAGTCGACACTAATGTACTGCTCTTCGACCTTGCCCGCAACGTAAATGACGGTGGGGGCAATGTACTTAGGGTGGAACTCCATGACGCTGTTGGAGAGGTAAAAGCGCTTGAAGAGCACGACCGCCGCTGACTATGGGATTGCATGTAGCTCGTAAGAGACGCCATGGCGATGGTAGATAGACCTTGACTTTGTCGGACGTCCGGAAGAGGCGCGTGCAGCTATCTTGGACTTGGATCTGGTAAAAGTTCAAGACGAGCGCCTCCTCGGCCAGCGTCAGCAGCGCGAGCTCGTTCGGCGGCACGTCGAGCTCTGCACAAAGCAACGAATGAGCGCCGCTACGTAGGCCACGGCGCGTACCTTCGAGTGTATCGTTCCAATCGGTCGTGTCCAGGACGGCATTCGTCGACGCTGGCAGGAGGCACGCAAAGGAGCGCGGCTTGCGCGCCAGCGTCGGACTCGCTTCGCACAGCTGCAGCTGCTTGTGGCACTTGTTCATCTTCAAGGCGCCAACCGTGCGCAGCTGGTCCTCGGTGAAGACCCAGTTGTTGAGGTGGGTCGACGTTGCGAGGTAGGCTGCCATGGTGGCCCGCGTGTGGTCGGCTGGGCGAAATAAATCAGCCTTTCACCGATTGGTCGATACTCAAACCATTTTGGCCAATCCCTATCCCGCTCCACCGATTTGGATTTGGAAACAGTGTCTCGCCAGTGTATATTCTAGTGTACAGCGCATCATCTATGCCTGGTCGTCGTCTTGCAGCGGGAGGCGGCTCGGCAGCGAGTTGGACCGGATGTAGTAGCGACCAATGGTCGCCCGCGAGAGCTTCTCGTGCGGCAGCGTCGGGTGCTTCTGTGTGAGCTTGACAAAGAGGCCTGTCGCGCGGACCCACTCTTGGCGAGCTTCCAGCGCCACGACCATCTCGATCGTCGTCTCGGGCGATGGCTGCATGCCACGGCGATGCATCGTGTCGTAGATCGCGGATACATGCGAGTGCTTGCCTGCGTCGTTGAAGAGGCGCATGACAAGCGTGCAGGCTTCCGTCGCATGCAGTCCCCGGTCTTCCATGCAGCGCAAGACCGCGTGGGCGTCGTCCGGTCGCCCAGCGGCCGCGAGCTCCCGCAGCACGCCCACATACGACAGTGGGTCGTTCAAGTGTATTTGTACAGCCCAGAACGTCTCGAGGAGCGCATCGACGCTCCACTCGTGTCGGTTCGCCGCATGAAACGCGCGCAAGAGCATCGCAAAGCTGGTCGCGTCTGGCGCCGTGTGCGCTTGGAGGGATTGGAAGAGCCGTTGGCAGTCGGCAAAACGCTCTTCGTGCATGGCCTGGCCTAGGAGCGTCGTGAACGTAATGACATCGGGCGCGAGGCCATGGCGCGTCGTGGCATTCTCCAGAAACGTCTCCATCGTCGCCAGCGGGAACGCCTTGGACGACGTGAGGGCGCGGAGAACGAGGTTCACCGACACAATCGACGGGCATGTCGCCGCTTCGAGGCGCCCGTAGAACTGCAAAGCGGCGTGGGGCAGGCGCGCATGGCCACAGCCGTCGAGCAGCCGATTCCAGATGCGTTCGTCGACAAACTGCTTTGGCATCTCGTCCACGATGGTCTCCATTAACGCCACGTCGCCATGGGGCGCGAGCGCGTGCAGTAATCGGAGGTACGTGGTTTGGTTGGGCGAAACGCCGCAGACTTGCATGCCTTCAAAGACCTGGACGGCGTCCAGCGGCTTTTTCGCGTGGCCGCAGACCTCGATCGCAGCGTTAAAGACGTCGACGGACGCATCGTCGATCGTGCCGAGGTACCGCATCGCGAGTGAGAACTTCTTGGCGTTGGCGCACGTCAAGAGATACAGGACGTGCGTGTCACTGGACGGCGCCACCATATAGTCCGCCTACGCGAGCGTATGGAACATGGCCGCAGGCAGAGGCCATGGTAATACCATGAGTCGAAGCACGTCGGCGGCTTCGCTGTACATGCCGTGGCGACGAAAGATGTCCAAGGCGGCGTTGTAGACGCCCGCGTCCAGCGGGTACTTTGTGAGCCGCTGCAATAACGAGGGAACGGCGTCGGGCGTACGGCGAAACGTGCGCAGCAGTGAGAAGAGACCGGCGGCCTCGGGCGTCCCGACGTGGGCTTCCTCCATGTGTTCGAGGAGCGCCAGCGCCGCGCTCGTGTCCTTCCTAACGCACACGTGAGCGCACACAAAGAGCCGGGGCAAGAGGTACTTTGCGCTGAGGCCTTTGAAGAGCACTGCATATGTAAACGGCGTTGCTTTCATTGGCATCGCGGCCAAGAGGCGCAAGGCGCCGGTGACGTCGGCGGCGCGCACGAGCGTGTCGATCGCGATCGCATACATGGTCGCATTGGGGGCCGGTACGAGACATAGCAAAGACGGCACCCGCGCCGCCGCACCGACGTCGCGTGCTGCGAGAAGCGCGAAGCAAACGCTGTCGTCGTTGAAGACGTTTGCAGCAACCATTGCGTCAAAAAGCCCAAGGAGGAGATGATGGCGCCCACCATCATAGCGGCGCAAACCCGAGAGCACGGCGTTGTAGGTCGCTGCGTTCGGCGGCGGCACGAGCGAGGACGCCATCGTCCCGACGATGCAAAGTACGTGGGCCAGGGCGTCGTCCGGCCGGTGCCGCAGCAGATCGCGGAGCCAAGCATTCGCGATTTCGGTCGTCCATCGATCGCTGTGCACGTCGTAGGAGATTAGCGAGGCGCGGCGGCGCGACGCCATGAGGTCGTTGTTCTTGGCGTCACGCAAGAGCGGGGGCGGCACGCTGTGGTCGTACGCGCGGGCCCGCAGTGCGCGTAAGATGGTGTAAAAGTCGGCTTGGAGGCCAGCGTCGGCGCAACGCTGCAGCGCCGCGACGTAAAGCGACCCGTCCAAGGCAATCGAGAGAGGTGCAATTCGATCGAGCCAGCGCGAGAGGTGGACCACGGGCAGTGCGTCCAGCACGAGGTGGGCCAGGTCGCCAGAAAGGCTCAGTCCATGGACGCTGCCCGCGACGTCGAGCAGCAATTCGAACGGATAGGCCGGTAACGCGCTGGGCTCCACGGCCCGTATCGTGTCGCATAGGCTGACGCACAGCGAGAGATCGAGAGATGGGTGTTGTGGCATGGCAGCTGTCCGCGCCGCCACGGCGGCATCGCGGTAGATGGTCAAGAGCGCTCGCACGGCGGGTTTTGTGGGCACGAGGTCGGCCGCGAGCATCGTCGCCCAGTAGTCTTCGGCCGCGACAACGTCCTGCGACGCTACACACGCTTGGATCAGGCCTTGGTACGTGTGTGCGTTCGGGGCGAACTGGTGCTGGCGCATCGAGCGAAACAAGGCACGCGCGTCGGCGAGGTCCCCGCGGTGGCCGCACGAGTGGATTGCAATGTTAAACAAGCTGGTGCTCAGATCTGTGGGCGGTAGCGACTCCAAGTAGAGCATCGCGTCGCGATGCTTCCGCTCGCGAACGAGGGCCTGAAGCACGCCGCTGTGGCTCGCGGGACAGGGCCGCATGTGCTGGGCCATGAGCTGCAAGACCTCTTGGGCTTCGCGGCTGGAGAAGCAACGACCCGTGTTGGCGATGAGCTTGTTGAACTCGTCGCGGCTCAAGGCCACTTGTTCGTGGCGAACCCGGTCGAGCAGCGCCCGCGTCGACTGCTCCACGACCTTCGTCACGCGCTTCATTTGCCGTCGCGATTTTCAATTCGGCATTCCAAGTCTAGAAATCGGCACATGCCGACCTGGGCCGCGCCCTGAAACACATTGGTTCACTAGCCAGTACACCAAAGAGCAATGCATTTTACTCGTCTTTCAAACTTGCGTTGCTGTCGCCTCGGTTGATTGCTGGCAAATGCGCGTATACCCGGTGGCGGGACCTCGCGGTGGTTGTCTCGCGGCCTGGCAGAAGAGGCATATGCCGAATGCGAACGGTGGCGCCACTACGGACACTGGATTGGCTAAAATCTATTCTTTCATGCGCATTGATTGGTGTAAAATCGTATTTGCATCGAGATCAAGCATTGGATTGGCTGGAAAGATCGCGAAACAACCAATGGCATCGAGCGATACTGGTGGTCTGGTGGTTGGGCTCCGATTGGGCTACGGACCAGTGAATGGTGGCAGAATTGAACATCGTTGTAGCATGGCGGCCTTGAGCGGAGTGAACACGTCGCTGCTCGATGGCGACGTCCCGTTCAGCGCGTGTGGCTTTGGCCTTGACAAGCGCCTAAGCAAGGCCTGCGCCAAGATGCAATTTGTGCATGCGACGCTCGTCCAGAAGCACTGCATTCCGCTGGCGCTCCAGGGCAAAGATCTCCTCGTGCGCGCGCGGACGGGCTCGGGTAAGACCGCGGCCTTCTGCCTGCCCGTGCTGCAGAAGATCCTCGCGGCCCACACGCCGTCGACGAAGAAGTCGATCAAGGCGCTCATCCTTGTGCCTACGAAGGAGCTCGTGGACCAGACGCGCGCCCATTTGTGGGAACTCATGTACTATTGCCGCGACGTTGTCTCAGTGCTCGGTCTCAGCGGCCAGAGCGTCAGTGCCCAGCAGGCGCTGCTGCGTGATGTGCCTGACATCCTCATCTCGACGCCGTCCCGTCTTGTGGTGCATCTCGAGGCCGGTAACGTCGACCTCAAGAGCTCCGTGCACACGGTCGTCATGGACGAAGCCGATTTGGTGCTTTCGTTTGGCTACGGCGAGGACGTCAAGAAGATCTTCAACGCGCTGCCCAAGATCTGCCAGCACTTTTTCATGTCGGCGACGCTCAGCCCGGAGCTCGATGCGCTCAAGAAGGCCGTCTTGCACAACCCCGCGGTCGTCAAGCTCGAGGAGGGCCACAGCGACGGAAAGCTCCAGCAGTACTACCTCCCGGTCGTCAAGAAGGACAAGGACCTCCTCGCCTACGCGCTCATCAAGCTCGGTGTGATCCACGGCAAAGTCATCTTCTTTGTCAACTCGACCGCGGCCGCATACCGCCTCAAGCTCTTCTTCGAGCAGTTTATCATCAAGGCCGCGGTCCTCAACGCCAAGCTGCCGCACAACTCGCGCCAGCACATCATCCAGCAATTCAACCGGGTACGTCCTTGATTGTCTGTTGATATGGCCACTCAGGTTTGTCTCAGGGCATGATTGACTTTTTGATTGCAACCGACGACAGCGTCGACAAGGACGAAGGCGACGACGACGAAGCCGACTCGGACGAGGAGGAAGCCGAGGACGAGGACGAAGACAATGAAAACGAAGAGGAAGAAGAGGAAGAAGAGGAAGAAGACGAGGAAGAAGACGAGGAAGAAGCCGCCGAGAACGACGACGACGACGCCGAAGAGAACGACGAAGAGGATGAAGACGACGACGACGACGAGAACGAAAACATGCTCGATGGCGAGGACGACGAGCCCGAGTTTGGCGCGTTTGGCGACGACGATGACGACGACGACGAGGCGTCCAAGCCGACCAAGGGCAAGCGCGAAGCCGAAGGCTTTGGTGTCAGCCGTGGTGTCGACTTCCGTGGCGTCACGTTTGTCATCAACATGGACTTTCCATCGAGCGTCAAGTCGTACACGCACCGGATTGGTCGTACGGCGCGCGGCGGTGCGTCGGGCACGGCGCTCTCGCTGGTCGCGACCGACGACGCGAACGAGAAGCGCATTCTGGAGAAGGTCCAATCGCGCCAGGCGCCGGTCCTTCTCGAGTCGCAGGACCTCGTCAAGCAGCCGGCCCCGCTGGCGTTCAACGTGCAGGAGATCGACTGCTTCCGGTACCGCGTCGAAGACGTGCGTCGCGCCGTGACCAACGTCGCGGTCCGCGAGGCGCAGCTCTCGGACGTGAAGAAGGAGATGCTCAACTCGGAGAAGCTCCGGTCGCATTTCGAGGACCACCCGCGCGAACTCAACTTGCTGCAGCACGACAAGACCGTCGGGAAGGCCCGCATCCAGCCGCACTTGGCCACGATCCCGACGTACCTCGTGCCGTCGGCGCTCCAGGCGCCGGCGCCGGCCAAGAAGCGTAAGCAAAATGTCAACTATGCTGGCAAGAAGAACCACAAGCGCCGCACGGACAACGACCCGCTGCACACGTTTACGCACGACGAGCCCAAGCCCGAGGCGGAAGAAGACCGCATCACGTACGGCGACCGCGGCGTCGGCAAAAGCACGTCGGGCCGCCAAAAGTGGAAGTCGATGCACAAGAAGGGCCACTTCAACCCCAAGACGATCGCCAAGAAAGAGCGCAAGGCCCGGCTCGGCGCCAAGCACTAAGTTTATACCTATACCGCCTCTAATCCTACTACAACACTACACCTTAGACGAACATGGCTGGAATCTAGTTGCTAATGTTATACGCATGGGACGCCACGCCTCATTTCCCTCGGCAGCGCTCGAGGGCCAGTGACGTGGCGGCGTCCAAGGGCGATGCCAGATAACACCAGTATCAACGTGCCCGCTCGCTGCGTGGACACCAGGTTGGAAACACCAGTTTGGAGACGCGACCGGTGATCGTTGGTATCAGAGACGACTCTGTAGCAACGTAACGAACGCATACCAAGCAAAGAAAGGCAATGCAGCACAACCTTACTACGACGGGACGACTACTTGACGACGAGTGAAATAACAATCAATCACTTGAGACCCGCTGCATCTTTCGGGTATACGGTTCATACGGCTTGGTGGTTGGCGTGGGTCCGCCGCGTGGCATGGTGCGTGCTGTTGTCTCGGTGGAGCGCCTTTGGTGCACGGGGGCATGGCGCACACATTCGGGTTTGTCGTCAGGATCGTAATACTTGATGTGCTGCAGGATGGGTGGGAACGTGACGCGCCTTCTGGGGCGACGGGGCGCGGGGCGGAGCGGGGCGAGCGCAGAGAGGGGCACGGGACGTGTGGTTTGCGCTGGCAGAAAGGCCTTGAAGTAGTTGCCGATCGCATTTGGACCCAGGGATACGTAAAGCTCCATCTCTTCCTTCGTCGCTAGGTCGTTGGCGAGTTTTTTCATGCCTTCATTGAGGTGGAATGGCGAGCGAAGCGGGACTTCCTTCTGGAGCTCGGCTTGCAGCGCCATTGCAAACTCGGTCGCGCGTGCCGGTGCCATGCTCGGGTTCTTGTTCATGATGGCGTTGTAAAAGGCATGCCATGCGTCGTCATGGAGGGCGTCGTTGTGTCCCGCGGCGGCGACGTCCGGGCGACTTTGGTCGGTGGCTCGACCATGTCGGCCTCACGGAACTTGGCATCCATCCAACTTGTAAACGCAGTGTGCCGCCGGACAATGACCGAACGCGTTTGCGTGCGCATGAACGCAATGTTGTGCAGCTGGGTGTGGACGAAAACGAGCGCAAGCTTGTGGCACTTGGAGCTCACGTCGGCCTTGATGTGTGCCAAGAACGCCGTGTAGTTACCGGCGTCCGCCTTCTTGATCAAGGAACTGCGCAGTGCTTTCAGCCGGTCAGCAGCGCGCTCGATATCGTTGAGCTCAAGCAGGGCCGGCGTCGGGTGGGCCTTAATGCATTTGGTCAAGTCCAGTCGCACGAACGAGACACCTTGAAGCGAGTGCAAGGGCAAGACCGAGTCCTCAAAGCGAGCAAACCGCTGCGGAAATTGGACGACGTCGGTCGCCACGTCTTGGTCCGTCACCACGTTCTTCTCCGTCTTGGTGTGAATAAATACGTCGTTGGCGCCGCCTTTGATTTGCCATAGCAGGGGGCAGGCCTCGCAGCGGGAGAGCGAGAAGGCCGGCGCGTCCGGCTTCGTCGGCGGCGACTGCCGCGGGACGTGCGCCTTCCCGAGGGCTAGAAGCCGCGAGAGCACATGGCGAACCTCGCAGCACCAGGATGTGTACTTCATCTCGAGGAGCGCTTCCTCGTCCATCGTCGTTGCTTGATCGACTCCTCGCAAGCTCGAATGCAAAAAAAGCTTGGCCCAACGGGCCCAAATAAAATTCAGCAATCGTTTTTTACGCGCATACATTGATACAGACACGCGAGACGCTTTTATTTTTCCATGCCATGGCAGGTGTTTTTCCCATCGAAAGAAATGGATCCCGAATCATTTAAAAGTTGTTTTTAATTCTACCGCACATTTGAACTTTGTAAGCACGGGCGGGCGCAAAAACAGAATTGGATTCTATTACCGTGTGGGCGAATTTTATATGCCAGGGCGGCATTCCATTGGCTATAATTTTGACATGCGCACCAATCAGAGAGAGAAACGCCATGGCGCCAAAAGCGACAACGCGTAAGATGCGTGCAAGGATCACCAATGGTTGATCGCGTTCCGGCTTCATCAACACCTACTACATAGTGCCTCCTCGCAGCACTTCAGCTACGTCGCGAGCGCGTCGTAGTGGTCGTGGTGCGTTGACGAAAGGCGCTTCTTGTAGCAGAAGAGACCGATGGCCGCGGCGCCGACAGCAGCGCCGATGCTGCAGCCGACAGCCACGCCAATATTGACGCTGGTGGAGGACGTTGTTGTCATGGGTACCGCCGTCGTCGATGCATGGTAGACGCTGTACGAGACGCAGCCAAACGATGCCGATGCACAGGCAAACCCGGCAGCACACACGGCCTTGCCATTGAACATCGTCGCAGTGGCTGCCGCATAGCCGGTAGCAGCGGTCGATTTGTCGGCGACGCAAGGAAACTTGGGGCCCACAACAAGCGCCGCCGTCGGCTATAGCGTACACTGGCACATAGACGGGCACGCTCGGATGCCTGCCCAGTCGTTGCAGTAGCTGGTGCACCGGGCCGCGTTCTCCGACGTCGAACGCGTCGCGTTGAGGTTGGCCACAGTCGACGGCCGCGTATAGTTGGCCCATGAAAGGTGGTTGAGCGTCGATGCAAAGGCGTCAGCATCTTTGTTGAGCCTCGATGTGAACGCGTCAGCGGTGTAGCTGCACACGGCCTGCGTCTTGGCCCGACACGTTGATGGATCGCAGCATGCATACGGCGGCGCGCACGTGGAGACTGGCATCAAAGGCGCGCATTTCGATGCCATCGAGAGGATGGTCGTGACGCCGCATGCGACGCACTTATTGTTGCACGATGGCACGAGGGGGAGGTGGTCGTCGACGTTGGCCGAAGAGTACGACAATGCAGCTGCGCCACGCCCATTGAGTAGCTCGATGGCTTCTTCGACCGTGAACGCTGACGCAAGCGCAGCCAGCAGAAGCAGACAGAGTCCACGCATTTTTCACACTTGCGACCCGACGCTCGAAGATCGCCATCGTTATAGATCCCTCGTCACTGATTGGGCGCAAATTTACGTCCGGATTGGTCCAGCGTGAGCAAGGGGCGAACGGCGTGCAATGCCATTACGTTGGGGCATGGACATGCGACCTGATAGCAGTCCTCTGCCGGCCGTATCTGACGACGTCCTCTCGCAGAACGTGCTGCTTATGCACGCCGTCCCTCGCCACTGAGCGCTCGCCACGATCCGAGAACACGCCCCGTTGTGTCGTGGGCATCGTGCGTTCTGATTGGTCAGAGCTTTCGGAATCCACGTGGCAGCTTCCGCGAATCGGATGCGGTCGGCAACTCTTCCACGCCACGTCCTTGGCGCAGGATCAGCTGTGCTGGTCAGGGCTGTTGCACTGACGCAACCACATGCGACGCTGTGGGCACGTGCTGGATTTTTGGCGGCGCATTCGAGCTACTCACAGTAGCTACTATAAACACACACAGAACCATCGCCGAGTGGCGATCCAAGGGCATGGTGTACGCTGTGACGCTGCGATACGTCGACGCGCGTGGCTCGTCTGCGGTCTAGCACCTCGGCGACGCTCAGTTTGCTCAGCTTTTGTCGAAAGCTTCGATGCATTTGTATCGAAGCACGTCATCGGCACCCCTTTTTGTCAGTATATTTGACCGTTGGACCTTCTTTTCTGTAATATGGGGGAAACCGCACCCTCTTTGTATCAGATTGAAGTGGCGCTAAGAATCGAGAACTTTGGGATGCCCATCTGGCAGTTGGCGGAGGTCTCTACTCGGAACTGGCACTCCCACATTCCTTTACACTCCCGACCCACCCGGCGGCAAGTGCAGTGGCGCCACGATGCCCATGTTCCCGACCCGCATCTTCACCTCGCCGACGGTCTCGGAGCAGTCCCCGTCGTCGTGGCTCCAGGCACTCAAGGGCAAGACGGCCAGCGCCGACGTCTTCTCGGCGCTCGCCAAGAAGGCGCCGTCCAAGAAGACGCTGACCAAGCCGTTTGCGCTCTCGAAGGAGTACGTCACGAAGCGCTGGGGGCGCGGACAGGCGGCGGCGACCCCGCACCAGCCCACGCGCGTACAGCCGCTCGTGCAAGAGGTGCCTGGCGTGAGCGCGGCCATGGCGCTTCGTCAAAAGGCGCTGCACGCCGCCATCGCGTCGGGTGACCTCGTGTTGACAAAGGAAGGTTGCGGCGGCGCGTACTTGCTTCGTGACGACGACGACGCACCGATTGCTATCTTCAAGCCGCGCGACGAGGAGTTCATGGCGCCCAACAACCCGCGCGGCTACGTAAGCCACGGTGCAGTGCTCGGCGAAAGCCTGCACCCAACGCGAAAGGGCTTTCGCGTCGGCAACGGAGCTCTCCGAGAAGCTGCTGCGTTCATGCTCGACGCCGCGTACGAGCACTTTAGCGGCGTCCCGGTCACGAGCCTCGTCACGGCGCCGATCGGGAACACGTGGAAGGAAGGCTCCGTGCAAGCGTTTGTGCCCTCGGAGTCGTCGGCCGAAGACATGGGCACGCTTCAATTTTCGGTTCACGACGTGCACAAGATTGCGATCTTGGACCTCCGCCTCTTCAACACGGATCGTCACGCGGGCAACATTCTCCTGCAGTCGACGACCGACAAGACAACCAAGTACAAGATGGTACCGATTGACCACGGCTTGACACTGCCCGCTTATCAGCACCTCGACGGCGCCACGTTTGACTGGCTGCACTGGCCGCAAGCCAAGTTTCCCTTGAGCGCATCGGCCGTTGCGCATGTCCAGCGCCTCGACCCGGCCCGCGATGCTGACCTCTTACGATCCCTCGGGCTTCCTGAAGACTGTATTTTGACGATGCTAATCTCGACGATGCTGCTCCAAAAGGCGGTCGCTGCCGGCTACTCGCTCTATGACATTGGGATGCTCGTCCAGCGCGACGGCCTCGGCGACACGCCATCCCAGCTCGAAGACGTGGTCGAGCAGGCGCGGGCCATGCTACCGGCGGAAGCAGACATGTACGACCCGCGCGTGGCAGGTCGTATGCTGCTGGACCTCGTGGCGAAGGCACTCGATGCGCTCCTTTTGGATTACCCCAAGAGCAAGGTGCGCAGCATTAGCAACTTGTAGATGTAGGCAGGAATGTCGTGTAGAGTAAAAGAGCAAGTAGACGCGTGTGCAGTAGCAAAAATGAAGTAATATAATAAGACAAGAAGAGGCGAATCCGCCCACCCGAAACGTGCTCTTTCTTTGGCCGCAGCGGACCGAGGACGTTGATACGCATCGGCACTTGTAGCTGCCGATAGCTGCATGCCCAAGCGACGGGGCTTGTGCAAAGAGATAGTAATCGACGAATGGCTAAAGGGATCGATCTGGTACGTCGCCGAAAGTATTGGCAAACGGAGGCTACATGTGGAAATCCAACATTTAGCTAAAAACGTTGCAGTGGCGTGCAATGACATCAATGCGGATCGCACGTTGCGGCGGAGTGGTGGGCCGTGCGATCACACGACACTTCGCCGTCGCGCTATTCCAGTGCACGACAGTCAGGGTGGTTCTTGTCGAGGCCATCGAGGCGACAACGAGCTCAGTCTGAGAGGAAAGTCCACTTCTCATGTTGTTCCAGCATTTGACTACTTGGCGGCGATCCGCGTCTGGTATGTTTATGTACATAGCGTGTACTACGGACAGCTACCACGCGAGAGACCGTGCTGTTTGCTTTGACGGGACTTGTGGCTGAAACGATGCTTGCTCGTAGATGCTTGTCGTCGGGCGCTGACGCAGCTTCTTCTCTGTGTGGACTGGTGGCGCAGCGACCTTCGTGTCGAAGTGGGCGCGGTCGCCCAAGCGCTGTAGTTGTTGCGACACCTACGCATACGAATATGTGTACACCATGATCTTACGCACAGCACATCGTACGGCCTCCCGTTGCAGTGTGCCAGTGCTCTCCGTGTCAAGGCACAAAACAGCATATCAATGTCACTGCTAAAGACGCGCTCGTCGCCGTCCATCGTAACCTACAAAAGATGACATCTACTTTCGCATCAAGAAGGATAGTGTTGGAGCAGCATGCCTCGTTGAAGCATTGTCGGAACCGCGCTTTCGTGAGCAGTGGGCTACCGTGGTCCACGGGCTACGAAGCCGTAGTTCAGTTTGGTCACATGCAGTGTGCGCACTCGGTTCCGTGCTTTGTCTAAATTGTCCATGGCGCCTTGCAGTCGGGGTACTAGTCGAGCCGAGAGACACGCCTGCGTCTTCTTCGTATCGACAGCACCCTGTAGCTTGAGCTTGGGCAAAATGACTTCGATTTCGGGGTCGGCAGCGGCGCTACTTGGTCGAGGTGTCGGCAAGCGCGGGGTCGCAGGATGCGTACGGCTGCGTGGCGTCGCTGATCGCAGCACTCGCTCGTTTGGAACGCCACGCCGGGGGGTGCGCGCGGGGCGCATGCTCGATATCAATCGTGCTATTTATATGCGTTGTGCCCATTCGCTGCATCATCATCGATGGTCGGAGCGCCATATTAAATACTTGAGCGCATTCGTCTTTTAGCTGGCTGCACGGTTTCAAGGCACATCGTGCTGTGAGAACTACACGTCGCAGTGCATGTACAGGAGGCGTCATCCCAATCGGACGGTCCGAACTCACGTTCGCGCGGTTTGAATGCATATTGTTGTGAACGCAACCTACTACCTTTGGTTGTCACCCCCCTGACCTACTACGTACATGTGCAGTCCATACTGTCAGCACGCCTATAGTGGCCAGGCACGTCGCATTGAGAGACTAGGCATCGATAGGTTTGCTCGAATTCTAATCGCCCTTTTGTCCCTTTTGAATCACAAGAAATTGCCGACCAACATTACGATCTTGTTGCGATCGGAAAGAAAACTCAGTCTGGGATCCCATCCAGTGTTTGCGACCGAAACCGTCGGGAAACGGCTAGTCCGGATACAGAGCGGTGTCGTATCCGGACGTCTCGCCCGAAACGACGCTTGGGCAGTTGCAGATTGGTCGTGTCGAGCGCAAAATGAAGCACGAGCAGTTCACCGAGGAAGACGATACGGAGGAAGAAGTCGTCCTCAACGTGCGCCGACCCTCTCGCCTCACGATCCCGGACCCGGCTGAGAAGCGCAACATGTACGCGGACTCGCCCCGCGCAAGCCGCGAGCCACCGACGCTCTCGCTGGCCGAGCAGCGCCGGCGCAAGCTCATCGGATGCTCGTCGCTGGCCGCGCTCTTCTTGAGCGTCGTCGTCTGCATCGCCATGATCCGCGTCCTTTCGGGCAACGAGCATCTCAGGTACATATCATGCGAAATGGGCCCTTTCACAATCGATGGATCTTCGTCTAGCGCGCTCACGCCCAACCAGCGCAACTTTATGCTGGCGACCAAAGCCGCCGGCGCGAAAGAGACGCTTGCCTACTACACCAAGGTACGCGTTGTTGGAAGTGCAATGCTCACGCGTACGATAGGAGTCGCGCGCGGCGGGCTCGACGGGTGACCTTGCGATGGCCAAGTACATTATGCAGAAGGCGCTCGACTTTGGCTTCCCAGAAGACAAAATCAAGCTCAGCGAATACGAAATTCTCCTCAACGAGCCCACGTCAGTGCGCGTCGGTCTAGTTGGCGCCGTGAAGGACCTCGCCGAGTCCTACATCAACAAGCCTTCGGTACGGCGATATCTCGTCTCAGGAGCCATACTGACCGAGCGTAGGTGACTCCGTTCCACTATTACTCGATGAACGGAACGGCTCAAGGCAAGCTTGTGTACGCCCACTACGGCCGATCCAACGACTACGATGTACGCCGTGTGCAAGCAGTGAGCTTGATACCGATGGCCCGTATTGCGCGTAGAGACTGCGCGCTGCGGGCGTCGACTTGAACGGCAAGGTGCTCTTGGTGCGCATGGGCCGGATCTCACTTGCGGCCAAAGTCGAGATCGCCAAGGAGACGGGCGCCGTCGCCGTCCTGACCTACAGGTACAAACGGTTCCTCGCACGAGATGCTTTGATTCACGTTCGGTGCTAGTGACCCGGCTGACAATGGCAGTTTGCAAGGCAAGGCGTGGCCGAATGGGCCTTACGCGCCCACGGACCGCGCGCTTTTGGCACGGTGTACATGGGCAACGGAGACCCATCGACTCCCGACGATGTCTCGGTGCCACTCATGGAGCGCCTGCCTGTGGACATGGTCTTTTCGGAAAACAACACGCGCAACCTCATGCCGCAGATCGTGAGTGTGCCGATTAGCGCAGACGTTGCCAAGAGCCTGCTGAGCAGCGTCAACGCGGGCGTAGCTGCCAAGAGTCTCTTTCCCGACTTTGCGCCGGGGCTGAAAGGCGCGTCGTATCTCTGCGGCGACAGCTCGGACGACGTGGTCGTGGAGAACATTGTACGTTGTCGATGTTGTCCTCTCCAACCTCATGGGACCATGCGTAGCAAAAATACAGCTACAAGAAGACGTGGAACGTCGTCATCTTGCTCGAGGGTACGCGCGAGGCCGACCGCATGGTGCTCATCGCGAGCCAGCGCGACTCGATCACGTCCGGCTCCATCTCCCCGGGCAGGTACGAGCAATCGTTAGAGCTCCATACTATCCCAAAACTCATGGCATGCGCACAGTGGCAATGCGGTCTTTATCGAGATGCTCCGAGGCATCGGGAACCTCTTGAGCCAAGGATGGGCGCCCCACCGCACGCTCTTCTTGGCGTCCGTGGACGCTGAAGACTATGGCAATGTCGGCACCTCCGAGTGGATAGACCGCCACTCGTCGAGTTTTGCGGCGCGTGCCGTTGTCTTCTTGAACGTCCGAGACCCGGTGGTTGGCCCCGGTGCGCTTACCGTCGAAGCCAGCTCGAGCTTGCGCACAGCTCTGCTCTACGCGACGCTTGGTATTGCGCAGCCTGAGACGAACCCTAGCGACACGCTCAACCCGTCGAGCATTCTCAGCAACATTACGCTGCATTCCGACGAGGGTGCAGTCTCTGGTCCGACGTCGTTTATTCACGGCAACACGACACTGGTGTGGGAAGACTTGACGAATGCAGTGTCGGACTCCATTTACTACTACTGGCTCAAGGCCACGAAAGCCTCCGACCCGAGCGCCGTGACGCCATCAATCTCGACGCCCGGTACGACGCACCTCTTGTCGCCTTTTGTGGTCCGGCTGGGTGTGCCCGTCGTCGAGCTTGCCTTCGACTCTGGCATCGACTCAATCGACGATACGTCGTACGACACGCTCGACTGGATGAAGGCGTACGGTGATCCGTCCTTTACGTTTCACCGCGCGGCCGCCCAGGTACACGACACTCGAGTTAAGATGGTCCCTGATTCGTTTGTGATTGTTCTAGCTCTACGGCAGCATCATGCTTTCGTTCAGCGACTCTGTGTTTTTGCCCTACGACTTTGTCGAGTACGCCAAGGACCTCCGCGCTGGAAAAACGCAGCTCGTCTCGGTCCTCTCAACGTACAAGGCGTTTTCGCTGAACCTCGACCGTCTCGAGCGAGCGATCGTTGCTTTCACCAAGGTCGCGACCAACGTCAACAAGGTAGACGCACTCTTGTTGCTCGATTGGGTTGGTTCAACATGCGGTTAGGAAATTGTGCAAATGTCCGATGAGATGCTCGACGTGTTGAACGGTCAGATGATTGTGGACGTCAAGCGAGCGCGGGACATGAACAACCGGTTGATGATGACGGAGCGCGCGTTCTTGTTCCCGGAAGGTCTCCCTGGAAAACCGTGGATGAAGCACGTACGTCACTCTGATGTTGTTTGTGCTTTAAGCAAGTTTTCATTGTTGCTGCCTAGTCGATTTACGGTCTCTCGGTATGGAACGACTACAATGTTACGCTTTTCCCGGGCGTCTTTACGGCTCTGAGCGAGAAGAGCCTCATTGACGCCAAGCACCAGCTGCACCGCCTATGTCGCACGATCGAAGACGCGACGGATACTTTGGCAACGGTCAAGCTCGCGTAGAGGCTAGCATGGACGATAGTAGTCCTCTACTTGTTGCTACGACACCACTGCTTCACGCGATCAAGGGCCCAAGTCTCATACCAACTAAATATACATGACATGTGCACGCTATTCGATTTGTAGTCTTGTCTTAATCCAACGCTCTGGCTACCTTTCTGCAGCTAAGATCATAATGAGCGAAATTGGTCAAAATCAAAATCAAAATCAAAATCAAAATCAAAATCAAAATCAAAATCAAAATTGCAGACATGTTCTAAAAAGATGATATCAAAAGAGATGTGCACAAAAATCAATCTCCCCGTCCGGGAATTGAACCCGGGTCACCCGCGTGACAGGCGGGTATACTAACCACTATACTAACGAGGATTGTATGCTGTGAATCATTCAACAAACATCAATTGTATGCACAAATCCGTAAAGTAGTTCAAGCCCTGGCATTCCATGCCAGTTTCAACTATTCAAGTATCATTTAGTATGATTGATACGAATATTTCTTCAAAAGTTAGCCACATAGCACCGCCTTCCTGAACAAACCAAAACCACAAAAAGCGCATTGCCGGACTCGAACCAGCGACCCTTTGAGCTGCAATCAAACGCTCTACCACTGAGCTAAACGCGCACTTTGTATACTATGCTGTCATCAACTGTGATCGAGTTTCTATTTTATAATAATGTTTCGCAAAATCTTGGATTTTAGAAATAGCTATGGTGGAGCAGGATTTATGTATAATTATAATAGTATACGACGATAGCACCGTCGCTTGTCATAAAATAGTCGAAATGAATCGGTGTTTGCTCAAATAGAAACTCGATCACAGTTGATGGCGGCATAGTATACAAAGTGCGCGTTTAGCTCAGTGGTAGAGCGTTTGATTGCAGCTCAAAGGGTCGCTGGTTCGAGTCCGGCAATGCGCTTTTTGTGGTTTTCATTCCCATTTTTCTACACATTTTTCGCACGAAACGCTGCACAATTTACACACAAAATACTTTGCTGTATGTAGAGCGCATTTTGTTTATGTCAGCATCTACACGTAAGTACCGGTAATGTTATGTACATGTTCAAATGTAGGATAATCGATGGTACTGCACCAATGCGCCGCTAATGCCGACACCATGGAACGAGTAAAAATCTTATGGTGCAAGTTCAAGACATCCATGCCGAACTTCAACCACGCCAGGTCATGGTGGTTTGTTTTTAAATATACAGGATTTTGTAGGCTGAGGCTCCATTTAAATAACCTTGTATCGCTCAGTTTGCATTTTGCGTTTGAGATGTTCCTTCGGCACCTTTCCCGACGCGTTCGCACCCGCACGACGACGCTAGCGACGGCCTTCTCAAGCAAGTCTACGGTCATGCCCCTCGTAGACATCGCGCCGCTCCTCGACGCGTCGTCGACCAAGGCGGAGCGTCAGCCGGCTCTCGATGCCATGCGCGACGCGTGCGCGTCGGTCGGCTTCTTTACGATTCCCGTCTCGGTTCTGCCGCATGGCCTCGTCGAGCGCGTATGCTTGCATCTTGTGGTGGCTGCATATTCATGAACGCGCTTAGGTTTACAGCCGGGCGGATGAGTTCAACGCGCTCCCGACCGACGTCAAGCACAAGTACCATGTCAACAAGGTGCCGAACTCTCGCGGGTGGACACCGCTCTTTGAGGAGCCCTCGGTAGGGCGATACTGTCTCCTTGTTTGCTGGACGCAAAAAAATCATTGTAGTATGTGCCCGGCGTCGTTTCGCACTTGGAAGGCTATGACATTGCGCAAGAGCTCCCTGCTTCGTTCATGGAGCACGACAAAGGGTACGCTTCACCCTCGTATTCCCGCGTGTATCATCTCGCGAGTCTAGCCTCGGCCCAAATGTGTGGCCTGCCGAGCTTCCAGCGTTCCGCGACGACGTCATGGGCCTCTACGACGCAACGACCAAGGTTTCGAACGCTCTTTTTGAAGGGTTTGCCGAAATGCTCGACCTGCCGAGGGATACCTTTCGCGTACACACAACTCGTGTGTTCTGCACATTCTACCTGATTGTTTTTGTGCCATGTAGAAATTCAACACGACCGAGGCGCAGGCGTGCATGCGACTGCTCACGTACCCCGAGAACAGCGCACCGATGGACGACCGCAATGTCGGCATCGCTGCCCATACGGATTTCGAGTGCTTTACGATCATCCACCAGGTCGGTGCTGCATGTTCTTGAGAGTCAAGCTGCACATGTAGTTTGTAGAACAATGCAGGCTTGCAGCTGACGACGCGGGACGGGCAATGGACGGACGCACCCGTGATGGCCGATCGCCTCGTCGTGCTGGTCGGCGATGTGCTAGAGCGCTGGACGAATGGCACGCTAAAAGCAACCCCGGTATGGTCTCATTTTTTATCGCTGAAACACCTAGGATTGATGTGGTGTAGCACCGTGTCTTGAACACGCAGGCCAAGCGCCAATCGATCGTGCGCTTCAATGGTGCCGAGGGCAAGGCCGTGATTGCACCGCTGCCGCCGTTTGTGTCGTCGACGTCGCCGGCCAAGTTTGCGCCCGTGACACAACGCCAGCACATTGAGAACGAGCTCAATACGGCGTACGACAACCTCGAGTCGAGTCGCAAGGACATCCAGCAGCAGCTGTGAGTGCGTAGCATCAATCTACATTTCGTTCACTTCGTTGCATGCCACTGCAGTTCATGCGCAACGGGAACCAAAACACCTGCCTTCTTTGCGGGACGAGGACACTGCGACTTGGTTGGCTGGAGCCACGCCGCGCTTTGAGTCATGAAATGTGGGAAGGGGTTGAGAAGAAGCAACGGTTGCGACACGAGCGCAACGACGCGAAGCTACGTTTTGGACCTGCTGCGAGCTCAGAACTTTCGTTTCTGGGTGGGTAAGCCGCACAGAGACGGGTGGTATTCACTTGCGATCGGGTCGCGCGCGACTGTTGACGGAGCATGGCTGGGACGCGCCAACCGTCCAACTTTGCGTCCGACAATCGCGGCAACGGGCAGATCGACGTGCCTTCTTGCCCGTTGGGCCCTGCTCGATCTTTGCGTTAGAGAGCTCAGAATTGAATTCACCCAGTATGCCGGAAGCCAGCAAGACAACGGACACAAGCTCGAGCGCCTCCTCCAAGTTGGCGTCTGCGCGCGACAAAGTCATGGATAGCGCCCACGACGCCAAGACCAAGGCGTCCGACAAGGCGAGCGAGCTCAAAGACAAGGCGTCGGACAAGGCGCACGAGCTTAAAGACAAGGCGTCGGACATGTCGAGCAAGGTGGCCGACAAGGCGCGCAATGCGAAGGACAAAGCTACGGGCTCCATGAAGACGAGCGACAACAGCGACGACCCGTACTAGGCGGCCCCGCATCAACCCCGCAACCATGTGCGGAAAGAGTCTCGCTCGACCTTTTCTAGTAGTAGCTAGTAACTAGTGGCTAATGCACATGGGTTATCGCACTTGAAATCGTGACGCAAACTTCTGCGCCTGCAACTTTGAGGCAATAAATCGAAATCGCAGGCTCACCGTCAATCATGGTGTCATCACCGTCCGTGGATGCGCGTAAAGTGACCTTTCCTGTGCGCTTGTCCCTTTTTAACCCTCCGAGGACTAAAGGCCAAACTGTCCGGTGCCTGCTACTAAGATATAAAGTGTTTACCGAGATTCTCATCAGCGCCACAAACTGTTGATAGAATCCGATCTGCACCGAGTGCATTATATCTATCCAAAGTAGTACAGTATCCGGATTGAGCGCAGGATCTGAGTACAAACTCGAGCCGTCGCCTCGCTTCTCTACCATCGACAAGGTTTCGCCTGTCGCCTCGAACTCGCTTTGGGCCCACGCACCATCGAGTGGTGGTTAGAGCAACGACCTGCGTTTAGAGCGCCTCTCCGCGTGCCCGTAAACAAGTGCATGTGTTCGAGTCGCGCGATTGGTCGAGTTGTCCAGATTGTAGGTCGTTGCGGCCATCGGTGCCGTGGCCATCGTCACCATCGTCCGCGCCGACGCGCTCGTTTGCGCTGGCATTGCCGCATTGACCAAACACGATGCTGCGCTCTTTTCGCAAATCTGCTGCACCCGTTCTTGCTCGCGCCGCCTCGTCGTGGACAGGCCCCGACGTTCCGACGATCGACATTCGCCCGCTTCTCGACCCGCACGCATCGACGGCAGCGCGTCAACCGGCGCTGCGCCGCATGCAAGCCGCGTGTTACGAGGACGGGTTCTTTGCGATCCCAACGTCCGTGCTCCCGCGCGACGAGCTCCTTTGCAATGTACAACTATCTAGCACCACGGTGGCTCTTCATTGTTGCTGGTGCCGATAGGTCTACTCAAGCATGGACGCGTTCCATGCACTCGCGCCATCCGCCAAGGCCAAGTACCACCTCCAAAAGGTGCCCAATGAGCGCGGCTGGACACCACTGCACCAAGAGCCCTCGGTAGTGCACCTTCTTCTTGATCCAGCGCCGGTGGACTAGTTCTCTTCGATGCCTAGCACGTTCCTGGCGTCGTCGCGCACCTTGAAGGCTATGACGTCGCGCGCGAGCTACCTGCGAGCTACCTCGCTCTAGACGACGGGTCCTCAGCTGGGCGCGAAATGAACGTGCTCAAAGCAGTTTAATAGGCTGGGTCCTAACGTGTGGCCCGACGACGAGCTGCCTTCGTTTCGACACCACGTCACTGCCCTCTACGATGCGCTCACCACTGTCGCCGACGGTCTTTTCGAAGGTTTTGCCGAAATGCTCCACCTCCCCCGCACCACCTTGCGTGTACTCTTTGGATCTTCATCCCACATGTGACTCTCATCCATCGACATGTAGGAATTCCACACGGCGGAGGCGCAAGCTGGCATGCGTCTTTTGACGTACCCCACCAACGATGCGCCCATGGACGAGACGCATGTCGGTATCGCCGAGCATACGGACTTCGAGTGCTTCACCCTTCTCCACCAGGTCGGTTCCGTTCTATCGTATTATTGCTCGAGGTCACATAAGATATAACGGCGCGTTAGACCAACTGGGGCCTCCAGCTCACAACCCGCCGCGGGGCCGTCGTCAATGTACCCGTCGCCACCGACCAATTTATCGTGCTCATTGGCGACGTCCTCGAGCGCTGGACGAACGGCGAGCTCATCGCGACGCCGGTGCATGGAATCTTCGTCGCTGCTCGCGAAATTTTTGATGTATAGCACCGCGTGCTCAACACGCCTGGGAAGCGCCAGTCGATCGCGAGGTTTAACGGCACGCAGCGGTCGGCGGTGATTGCGCCGCTGCCTGGTTTTGTGTCGAGCAGTCGCCCGGCGCGGTACGCGGCCGTGACGCAGCGCCAGCACACGCTCAACGCCATCATGCGACCGTACACGCCGTCGTCATCATCGGAGAAGAACAATACATTGGGATAAACGCCGTGTAAGAGAACACACTCAAGGCTTTTGCTCCTTGAAGTGCGGCTGGAGTTCGTAGCAGCTCTTGTTCGGGCCCTTCTTGTGGTAAACACAGATCTCCTTGAGGATTTCCTTGAGGTAGGCCTGTGCAGATGTGAGAATACTTCATTGAAATAGCAAGCGACCTCGGGCTGGCGGCAGTGGGCGTTGAGTTCCTTGAGCGGCCAGTACTCGCGCTGCTCGAAATAGTGAAAAATCTGGTTCTTGAGCGCTTCCTACACAGTCATACAACAAACACGATGAGATGAGGCGCACATGTCGTCGTCGGAACGTACGCGGTCCATCTTGATCTTCTTGAACGGCTCGGAGGGGCCTTTGATTTTGCCTTCTTCTTCCTCCTACGTACAGTATACAGGCGATTGTGCACGTTGAGAGGTAGCGCAGACCTCGTCTTCGCTCTCCTTGTGCTTGGGAATCTTGATCGTAATGCCACCCTTGACTTGCTTGGGCGTGCTCTCGAGGGGTACGACCGTGCTAGAGCCGAAATGAAAGATCCAGCGATTGGCAACGCGGCGCACGCACCCTTTCTGCATCGACTTGACGTAGCGAACGCCAAGCTGCTTCTTGTAGCGCTCGCCCGGCTTGGGCATCATCGAGCACGACTCGGTGACTTTGCCTTCAATGGCCATGCGCCCCGAGCCGTCCTGCGAAAAGACCTTGAGGCCGAGGTCCGACCGCGTCAGCTCCGTGCGGTACTCGGTCGGAATCTCTTCGCTAAGGGTGTCCGAGTTCACCGTCAAGACGCCCTACACATCGTATCCCATCCAGCCTTGGCCACGGCGCACATGATGGCGTACCTTGCGCCGGCCGAGCGCGTCGCGCTTGTTCATACGCAGTGTGCCCAAGAGGATTTCGCTCTCTACACACCGATACGATGAGGCCATGCTGGGCCATGATGGACCGTCCGATACCAGTGATGTTCTTCCACGAGCTCCCGAGCTCCTTCTACAAGGTGACAGTCGCTATCATGCACTGCGCCAAGGCTGCACGAGCGTACCGGCAGCTTCACGAGGTACAGCTCGCGGTCCTCCAGGTCCAAGTACACGGGCTCAATCGTATCCTCAACTTCGTCGTGATCCATGGCTGCCCGCTCGCTCGGTCCTTCAAGCCACAAAATAATGGACTCTTTTCAGCATTTTAATATTATTACGGCGTTTTTGTCCCGGACAAAAATGCGTAACGGAATAGTGTGAAACGCATAAAATACTGTTTCGAGATATGCGGGCCGCCACGTCAACCGATTCCACAATACACATTTCGCCGACTCGATTTGCATCAACGCCATCCCAAGCGAGAGAAGCGCGGGCTAATAGAAACGAAGTTGGCGCTGGAGACACGCCGCGAACGCTATGAAGTGAGCGTGTCGGCACGAGCCATCATGCAATCCGCTTCGTACCAGCACGCGCTTTTTGTGCAGAGTCGCCCAATTCGCGTCCGAAGTGGCGCAGCAGGATCGCAGTGCCCAGTAGGCTCGGACACACACTACCACGTCGTAGTACAGCATCCCAGTCGTTGTAGGCTGGTGGGCAGTGTACTACGTACCTGAACGGCACAACAATGAGCGGCAGCGTGGCGTCGGCCCAGCCATCGCGGATGTAAAAGAACATGGCGATCGACCCTATAGCATGGGCGACTGCGCCTACGCAATACGAACGCTAACGACTATCAAACGCATAGGTAAGCACCCACACAGGAGGCTCAAGCCCGGGTACAAGCAGCTACGCCCCGACGCGAGAAGAGAAAGCTCGAGGCCGAAACCGATCAACGCCAGCGTCGTCAACACCTCGGTGCTAATGATATATGCGTCAGGATGCAAGAAGCAATGCACCACGTACAGGGGCGTTGACGGGCGCACGGCGACCACGAGTGTCGCGATGCAGTGGAGATTCGTCGCGACAAACTGCGTCGCGGCGATGCACAAGCGTCCCATATCCACGAGTCTAAATTTGCACGAAACCGCTGGATCGACATCTTGTGGGACACGGATTTCCGCGAAACCGCTGGATCGACATCGTCCGGGACACGGTAATATTTTTAGGGGCCGTTGGCGTTGACGGCCATTTTCGAACGCGCCCCCAAGCCGTCGACCGCATCAAGCAACATGCGGCTCATCTGGGTGCTCCTCCTCGCGCTGGCCGCGTCGCCGTTCGCAGCCGCGCCGCAGCTCGAGCAGCTCCCGCCCCGCCGCCTTAGCATGACCAAGGAACTCCAGCGGATCTCGGCATCGGCCATCAACGTCGGGTACGAAGCGCTTACCGCCGCGTCGCCATGGACGTCCGAGCCGCGCCCGATTAGCGCGCACTGGACGTGCAGCAACGTCGCCGCGATTCTAACCCTCGCCGTCGTCATAACGATGGTCTGAGCCTTATTTATTCGGGCGATCTTGGCCGCCACTTTTCCCATTAGTATGCTAGTAGTATTAATCCAAGCACCGATAGACATTTCTCCTCACGTCTTCGTGCAATGTTGTTGTGAAAGCACGCTGCGTCAAGTCCGACCTGCTGTGATCGGCCGCCGCTCCAAGGTTGGCATATCGCAGGGCAGTGATGGCAGCAGAGGACCATGAGATGAACCCACAGTAGAATGAAGATTTCATTGCCAACCTTCGTGCATGTGCGCGTGTCCAGCCCACAGAACGTCGTGTCCAAGATCGTTTAACCCACGCCGCCGAGGATTTAACCTGCACTCCCAACGACGGCGCAGCTAAAACGTAGGCAAAACACTTTAACGCCACGAAAAGACGTCGATTCAGGGTTTAGGCGACTTTGGTGTTGTTCTCTTCGTGAAGTTGGATCGCCGACCGGACGGACGCATGACGAGCTGGTTTGGCCACACGCAGACGGTCGCGAGCATCTCGAAGAGCGTGTCGACGGTCGCGGGCGGGATCATCTGCCTCGAGTCCAACGTCACGAGCTTCATGAAGAAGGTTCGTGGCAGCGTGCCAGCCTTGGCTCATGATGGGCGTCGCAGGTCATTTACTACGAAGGCTTCTTCCAGCGCATGCACGACAAGCTTCCCGATGGTATGGCTGGCGTATATGGCTTCGTACATGCAGCTCAGACCATGTCTTCCGTACTAGAGCTCAACTATGCAGCCAAGAAGCTCATCCGAAGGTGCTACGAGTACCGCGAGGCGATTCGCGACGAGCTCCAGTACGCCGTTCTGAGCGAATCTGTATTGTGCAATGACCTTTTGCGCCTAGGTCCAGCGTCGCCTACGTGGCAGATGCAGGTCGATCGGTGTCCTACTTCCAGCTCTAATGTTGTGGACGTAGGTCGATGGCTCATTGGCATGGAAGATTGGAATACAAAGATGGAGAAGCGCTTGGGGCAGATCACAGAGCTTGTGATCCTCGCCAACAGGTAATAGTCGTAGTACTCGTAGCAAGAGCATTCTGTGCACGCGTGCGTACCTTCTGCCTACTGTAGCTTGCTCATGGAATACATGCTCACGGGCGAAATCGGTGCCAAAGGCGCGGAAGATGACCTAAGCCTTTACGTGCATGGCATTACAAACTCGATTGTGCTCCAAGACGACGCACTCTTCAAAGACTCGCTGAACAAATCCAAGCCCAACTCGACGACGGCGTCCCCGCGGGACCAGCCGCCACCATCAAAGGTCTTTGCCGAGACGGCGCCGCCGACGCTGGCACCGCCGCCCGTACCGCTGTCAAGGGACGACGTCGATGACAGTGTTGACGACGACGACCGCTTCAACCCCTTCAACGCGGCGCACGAAGCGTACTTTGCAGCGCCGATGCCGATTCCAAAACGCGTGCAACCGGTTGAGACGTCGACGCCGTCGCCAGCCGGATCCGCAACGTCGCACTCGTACAGCGACTATTGTCACCTCGACGAAGAGTACGCAGCGACGCTGAGCGAGATGCGGTCGTTTCCACCCACGATGCACCGGGGCACGCTGAGTGCGGCTAAGAAGCAGCCAGCACCCGCGCGCAAGCCGCCGGTGTACGACCTGACCATGTCGTTCGACTTTCAGAAAGAGCGCGCGCACAACCCGTTTGTTCGAGACCCCGTACGTGCAGGCGGTGAGTACCACCACCTTGACCTTCTTCTTAGGGCGTCGCTACCATCGACGAGATCGACGACACCCATGGCACGACTGCACTGGTAGAGCAATTCCGAGACGCAAAGAAAGAGTAACATGCATGCATCCCGTCGTGTTTCTTCGATACACTACTTGTACCAGGACGGACGGCCGTCAATAAAAAATATACATCGGCAACGACGCGGGGTCGCACCGCTTCAATGGAAGAAGGTCACGGGCCGACGACTACTCCGAGTGAACGCGAAAGTGGGCCGAGCAGAGGCCCTGTCGGCGGCACGGCTTCATGCACCCGGGCTCGGCACAGCGTTTGCCGCCACCGTGCGTCGCGCAAAAGCCGCCACCACGGTCGTTGCGCATGCAACCGGCCACGCCGCAGAGACGCGACCCGCCGTGGAGCGCGCAAAAGTCGCCGCGCTGAGTGCCCTTGTCGCAGCCTTCAAACAGACAGCGCTTGCCGCCGCCGTGCGATCGGCAGTAGCCACCACCCTGCGAGCTGCGGTCGCAGCCCTCAAAGAGGCAGCGCGGACCGCCACCGTGGGCCTTGCAGAGCATGTTGGATTGCGCGGCGCGTTCACAGCCATCGACTTCGCAGCGCTTGCCACCGCCGTGCTTGATGCAGAGGTTGCCGCCCTGGCTGCTCTTGTTGCAGCCGTCGACAGCGCAGCGGCGGCCGCCGCCGTGGGCGATGCAGAGGCCATGCGAGCGGGAGCGTTTTTGGCAGCCTTCCATCTTGCAGAGGCGGCGGTTCTTGCCCGAGAGACAGTCTTCGTCTTCGGTGCTATGGTCCATGGACTGCTGGTTGAGCGCGACAAAGCCAGTCGGGGGCGTGAGCTTGACATCGGAGAGGAAGTCGTCGCTGTCGTCATCGAACGACGACGACAAAAGGGCCTCCAACGGGCCGTCGTCCAGGAGGTTGAGCGTCAAGACACCGCCATCGACATCTTCGATCGTAGCGGGCGGTTGGCTTTCGGCGGCAGCGTCGTGTTCGTTCAAGAAGCTCATCAGAATCGACATTTCCGAGTTGTCGAAGCCTTCGTTGACGTCAAAAGACGCATCCTCGATGTCGTCTTCGAGAGCCACGTCGAGCAGGTCCTGAAAGGTGCCGATGTCGACGTTCGGGTCGCGCGGCGACACCGAGGCGCTGGTTGGCGCCTGCACCGGCGCGTAGTTCATGGTCTGCGACGGGTAGAACGACATGACCGGCTGCGCGTCGTAGCCGTAGCCAGGGCCAGGGTACATCATGCTGTCCGTGACGACTTCATACTGCTGGGGCTTCTGGTAGCTCATCATGGCCGGGCTGGGCGCCATGGCGTAGCGCGCCATGTCTTTGTTCATGGCAGCCTGGAACATCGCCTGCGGGTTCATCATGGGGAAGCCGCCGAGCGGCGCGGTCTCGATCGGCCGGCACATCGTGCTTGGTGGTTGGGGCTCTCGAGGCGGATTTCGTAGTGACCGCCCAAAATTTAACACCTTCTGTTTCTATGCAGCCTCGCAGGCGGCGTCTCATTGGCTGAAACTCGGAGTCGTGCCCGCGCACTGGCCCCATACCGATTTATGGCCAATCAAAAGGCATGAAATCTGGTCTAAAAATAGGTCGGCCCGGCCTTTCGAACGCTGCGCACGCTCATCCTCTTCTTGCGACGGCGCCTGGCGAAGGTGGCTGCAATAAAATAAACTGTGCAAAAAAACAAAAATGACGTCAGCAATTCCAGTGATTGGTGTGGTGGTGCTGCGGTCGGAGGTCGGACGCGGACTGTACCGATCGCAGCGCTTCCATCTTTATGAATCTCGTGCACCAGTCATCATCACCCACGTCTCTATACGGCCTACTGGACGTCGCGGTCCCGACGAGCCAGGCCAGCTGCCGACGTGCGGTCTTTCGACGACCGCCTAAAGGCTGAGCATCTGATGATGGATTGCAATCAAATCCTATACGATGGCGAGAGCAATTGATAATTATGCGTTGGCTATTCATCGTGCGCTGAACCACGGCAGATTGGGTCACTGCATGTGGCAGGTGGAGACGCATGTCGCGGCGGCGCTAATGGACCTGGCGTGCGAGGAGTCGCCCTGGATCCAATGACCATCTTCGGCATCAAATTAATTTTGACATCGGTTCCAGAAATAATCTTGAAGATGCGTTCGTCGCGGAAAAGACGCATCGACGAGCCCCCTTGATAGTCCCTTGATGGCGCCCAATGCCACGCAGACACATCAAGACCAACGAGGTGCAGCCGCCTGTGGGCAGTACGTATCAGCATCAACATATACATGTAGTATGTCTGCATGTACGTACCGGTAGTACCAGTTTAGTACACGCTCATGAGTGCGTTGGTCGCGGAGTCGAATGCCACGTGCCACGCGATTGGCTGAAATGGCCGCCTCCGGCTATCGTGTTTGGCCCGCGATCGGTGCAGCGGTGCGCGTCGTCAGCCTGGTTCTGTGCAGACTCCTCAAGGCCCTGAAGAGGCCTCTTGAGTCAAGGTGTCCGTGTCGAGGTGGGACATACACTTTATGTGATCTGGCCGTGCAAGAAACGTCCCTTCCTGCACCGGAGCACCCTCAATCGAGGAGGTTTTATGCCACTTGTATTTGTCCTGGTGTTGACCCTGCCTCTTGTGCCAAAGAATCGCAAGGCTACAATTGTAGAGGTAATGAGCACCGTTGCAGGGCACACGAAGCAATCGCCTGTGATGGACCCGCCAGCTTCAACAATTGCATCTTCAAGCACGCGTTCATTGGTCAGTATTAGCCAATCCCAGAAATGAATCTGTCTTATTGGCTTGAATTGTATCTTCAATAGCTTTACGCCTTGGCTTCACGATGAGCACTCAAAAGTATATTGTTTATCAACATCACCACTTGGGAATAGAGTCGACTTAAGCTTATCGCTTCATGTAGAGAAGAGTACTGGGCACCACAACGTACGGTTCTGCGCTTCTGGTGGGAGCCAGAGTTGCAGAACGTTTGTCATACCAATCGTAGTACCTGATCAATGGTACCAGTACCTGGTAGCAATAGGAGCACCAACATGACGCAGATACATCGTTCCAGCTGTCGGACAGGTCTCAGATAGACAGCTGTGTACATGTACACATAGTATGGGCTCAGGGGTTTGAGCTTGCTCAGTTTGCCTCTGCCTCGACTCAGAATAATGTCAAAGGCCGTTTAACTGCCTTTCTTGGACACCGTCGTGAATGGAGCGCATATCACGAGTGGTTCTACTTAACATAAATTGAGGCTCTCAAGTAGGGGCAAAAATATAAGATGCAGACTTTCGTGTTAGCTGTATACAGCAAGCAGGACTATAAGCCTCACCGTTATAGATAGTGTACAAAATGTCGAAGTGCATAACATGTATCGGCAGCAACCTCAAAGCTTCAAGGTTGCACCACTTCAATGGAAAACTGCGCGCACATTTAGTCGGCATGCCGCCAATGGGCTGAACATCGACCGTTGCGGCGGCATGGCTTTATACAACCAGGCTCGGCACAGCGCTTGCCGCCACCGTGCGTCGCGCAAAAGCCACCACCACGGTCGTTGCGCATGCAACCGGCCACGCCGCAGAGACGCGACCCGCCGTGGAGCGCGCAAAAGTCGCCGCGCTGAGTGCCCTTGTCGCAGCCTTCAAACAGACAGCGCTTGCCACCGCCGTGTGACCGGCAGTAACCGCTGCCTTGTGAACTGCGGTCGCAGCCCTCAAAGAGGCAGCGCGGACCGCCACCGTGGGCCTTGCAGAGCATGTTGGATTGCGCGGCGCGTTCACAGCCATCGACTTCGCAGCGCTTGCCACCGCCGTGCTTGATGCAGAGGTTGCCGCCCTGGCTGCTCTTGTTGCAGCCGTCGACAGCGCAGCGGCGGCCGCCGCCGTGGGCGATGCAGAGGCCATGCGAGCGGGAGCGTTTTTGGCAGCCTTCCATCTTGCAGAGGCGGCGGTTCTTGCCCGAGAGACAGTCTTCGGCTTCAAGGCGCGCTTCAATCGCGGGCTCGATGTAGCCGGCTGGCGGCATTAGTTGGATTTTGTCGATGGACGTGTCGGTCGTTTCGTTGTCAAGCATCTTGTCGATTTCGGTGTCGTCGAGAAGGTTGAGCGTGATGACACCGTCGTCTTCGACGTCGATCGGGGCGGCGTGCACGGTCGCCTCTTGCTCGGCGAGGAACCCGTACAGGATCTCCATCTCCGAGGAGTCGAAGGCCGTATCGTTTGCACAGGCCATGGCCTCCTCGTGGTCAAGCGTGTAGGCCACGAGGTCCTCGAAGGTGCCGCAGTCGATATTGAGCTCGTCGGCCTTTTGGATGGACGGTAGTGGCGTGGGCTTCAGACCGCCGTGCTGAGTCAAGACCTTGGCGTCTAGCGGAGTCAAAATCTTCGCGTCTTGCGGAGTCAAGACATTGGCGTCGAACGGGCGGAAGATGCGCTGCTGGAAGGGATGCGCGACGTGGTAGTTAAGCACCGACGGGCCAGCCATGGTTTCAGCTGGGCGACACATGAGAGCGATCTGGGGGCGAGTTTGCGTCTGCTGTTTTCGAAGCAAATATTGGAATGAGGAAGTGGAAGGTTTTTTACTACCGTCGCTGTTCGCGGATTGGTTGAGGTTTTATACATTTTTGTATTCATGTTTGTATGAATTTATAAAAAGTGCACGTCCGCGCGTGGATTGGCTGGCTTTAAATTCGCCAGAAACTCTATTTTAAACTATTTTAATTTGCCGTGCCGTATTTTTATTGCGAAAGGTCGCGCGATCGAGGGGGCTCGGCTAGGTGATGATGATAACGCATACACATCAGCGGCCTCGGTCAACGCTTCCTGTAGACAAGTTTGCGCACGGCCGCATCCTGCGGATCTCATTTTTGGCCTCGTGATTGAGCGTATCCCGCTAACCATGAACGCTTTGCAGCCGCGGAAAGGGCGAAACCCCTGTGCCAGGGCTTGGGGTGCATATCCGGTTGTCCAACAGGCATCTCATGGAAAAGTGCCTCTTGGGTCGTGAAACCCACAGAAGCGCAGAGCGCAGAGCGTTTTATTTAAGAAAATAGACAGAGTTATCACGGTTGATGCGCCGCTCGCAGCTGGTCGAGACGCAGCGCGGTCAGAATCTAAGTCGCGTGTTCTCATGAGATGGCCAAGAACCAGGCAACGTACCGATTCCAAAAGGCGGTCTGTGGCAAGGCCACACAGCTTGTTGCCACAGTGGGCATCTTCGAGCAGCGAGTAGCTTCGCTCAAGGCTGTCGTCCTACAATGAGAGTTTCCGCCAAGAACTCGAGGGGTTGCGAGGCGTACGAGCGTCTTAACGGCCTTGGCTGGCATCTGCACGGGCTTGGCACAACCGCAGGACTGAATCAGCACCTTCTTGCCCAACGTTGGCGTCACAAATCTAGGCGAGAGTAGCAGCTACACAAGCATTCGCGGTGATAAGTCATCTCTGGTGGATGCCGCATCGTACGGTAGGACCCGTCCACTTGCTTCGCGCGACGAGCTCCGAGACGACGTTGCAGCCATAGCCGATGCCAACAACCACATCCGCTTCAAACGCTGCGATGCGCGACGCTACGACGTCCGCATTTCTACAAAAGAAGGAGCTGAGAACGCGCAAAGGAGCGTGGGACAGCGAACCGTGCCGTGGAGAAGTCGGTGATTTCGGTCAGGAGTTTCGAGATCACCTTCCACAAACGCTCGAACGAGTTGCACAGAGCAAGAGGAAAACGTACCGACACGAGCATGAGAGCGATGAAGCCCAGAGACACGATGGAGAGGTACGCTGCAGGCATGTCGTTGTACCAATAGTCGAGTGCGACGGCAGCGAGCAGCGAGCTAGCGCCACGAATACAAATAAATTACCACATGCAAGTCGCCAACGGCAGCGTACACTGCAACGCCGAGAAAGATCATGATGGCGCCCACGACCATGAAGACAGCATTGGGCTGGCCGCGCCGCGGCAGCACGTACGTGCCGGGCACGAACGAGTCGATCACGCACGCCTCCTTCAAGAGGCTGGGCAGCGAGCCGGCCTCACTCCTACGGCGCGCGCATGAGCTGTCGCTCGCTGTAGCATCGAAGTACGTACGGCTGTCGGCTCTCTACGCAGAAGACGCGGACGCGCTTGTGCAGCTCGGGTGCTAAGACGTCGGCCATACTGGCTTGCAGCTTGGGTAGTGGCAAGGTGCTACCATGATTCACGGTTCGAAACCTGATTTCGAAGTTGCTGTGAGCACCCATGGCAGCAATCTCTGTGTTTGAGTGTGTCGACCCGAAGTTCGAAGGCACGACCTTCGAAATCGAATCCCGACGTTGATTATCCGGGTGCCGGATAAGCGAAGGAAGGGGCACACGGTGCCTGGGATGCGCGCTCCACAGGTTCGGGACGCAAAAACGGTCGTTGATTGGCTGAATACCGACGTTGAGGTGGAGACTCGCGCGTGGCTTGACGTGTGACATACACCAGCGGCGGTTGACGAAACGAAGGATACGTAAACGGTTTGGCGCCATGGAATGGCGGCCGTGCCTCCACGCGCCGCCCCAGCACAGAGACAAGGACCAGTGTTAACTACGACCGCCCCAGCGGGCAAGAGCCATCAGTGTGGTGATGGCTCTCTGGACGTCGTGGGCTGTATCGCGAGCATCAGGCAATACGCAGGGCGTCGATCGAAGGGACACCACCAGGCATCGCCTGGTCACATGCGGTCCAGCGGTCGGACAGCGCCCCTTCGAACCTTTCTTCCGTGAGCGTGTCGTGCTGATATCCAGCTATATGCACCGGTATATCATTTTCAAGCACTGGGAATTTGCCGGTGCCAGTGTGTATCATTTTTTCAGCGAACTTCTCGAGTCATTTTAAGGAGGTCAAACCGCAAGCAACTGCAACACAACAACATTATCGTGAGCACGTCGGACAGGACCATTATTGCGATGTCGGGCGCGTAGTGTAGTACTTACGACAAGGTGTTCACACCAAAATGTCCGACTATGATTACCCGGAACGAGCTATCCTCTGTAGCAAGTGTCGGCGCCACCACGTTTGGAGGCGCACCGCCGCAGCGCGGGCCCACAACCGCTTTCGTCGGCGCCACCATTCCTGGATGGCAGTGGCGGATGCCCGCTCCCACATTTCTCGGAGTGCCGTTCGACGACAGAGTGCTTCGATTTCATCCCGAAGCGTCCAGAGCCGTGCTCGCGCGCGCTTGGCTCGAAATGCTTGCTGAACGACAAGCGCTGCTGCGTGCAGTCGCTCTCTTCGACGCTGAGCGCGCCGCGTCACGACACAGATAAACGACGTCCACTTGAAGTGCTTCTGAAGCGTGCGTGCGGCATAGTTGTGCACATAGTGTCGCCGCGATTCAAGGGCCGCCTTGGCAAGGCGCTGACGATACCAGCACTGCAGCCGCACAGCAGCGCGCTCGCATCGGCGCCTTTCCATGCGGTGGTCGCCGGCCATCCGACGCGCACCGGCCGTTCGAATGCAGCGTGTTATGAGCCGCGCCGACTTGTTGCGTTTTTGATACCGGGCATTGCGCGTTCGGAAGAGCCTTGCACGAATGAAACGCTGGACCTTTCGCGCGGCGGCGAGATATTTACAGTAGCGAGCTTTGCGCACAGCGAATCGACGAGCGCAGTGACTGCGCCACGCCCGTTGGATGTGAAGCACAGCTTCATAACGACGACGTCGTGCCAGCGCATACCGCACGTAGAGACTGCGCATCCATGCGTGTAGCGTGACCTGAGCAGCGAGCACTTCAAGGGATTGTTCGTGCGCCGAGCGATCACGCCACTGAGCGAGGTAGTAGCGCACACGACTGCGCACATGCGTTCGGAGCAAGAGAGTGACTCTGTGCGTGCCTTTTCTAACAACATATTTGTCAGAAGTCGTTCGATCCCGTTCAAAAGACGTAATACGTTGTAAAGAAGCGGTGGACACGGTCTTGAACCTGTGCCCAGCGCACTTGGACCTCCCACCGGTGAAAGCGATCGTAGAGCAGCCGAAGGCGCAGACGCATAAAAATCGTCTGTAGATGTCATGTTAGAGCGACACTCGACGTTACCGATGAAGAGGGTTACCTGGAAACGACGGACCGCCAACGGGATGCGCTGCGCGGCCGCCACCATGAGTGCTTGGACGGAGCATTGATCCCGGGCCCACTCTTGGGCGTGCCAAACTACACACGGCAAGACATATTGGTCATGGTATTGCGTACCTATCCAAGCGATGCTTACCAGCGCGATCGAGTTGCGATTGAAGCTTGCGGCGGCGATCGAGCTCCTTTTGAAAGTGGTTGGCGGGCGCAGCGGTGGGCCAGGCCTTCAAACAGCGCGGGGTATGCAACCGCTGCTGGATGGACGTCTACGCAGGATCCGAATCCATCACGTGCCAACATCAAGATCACGATCGTACCAATGTTCCTTGAGCCTGTCGAGTTTCGTGTGGCGTCACGGCTTCGTGCGCCTACATGCGTGTCTCAACGGAATATGACGTGGCAGCGCGTACGGCTTCGAAAAGTGCAATGGCCATTTCTACAGCCGCTTTTGATTGGTTCGTTGGATCCGGCCTGTCGTGGCGCCACACACTGGCGCATGTGGTCCGAAAGACGACGAGGCTCCAGATAGCGTCGTAGACGGTAGACGGCGTCATGGTGTGAGTTTGGAGCAACTGCAAGTAGGCTCGCTCATCGGCGGGTGTGAGCAACCCTGATACATTCCATCCTGGCGTACCCGCAGCCGTAGCCACGAGCCGGCTGAAGCATGTCGAGACGTACGCCACGACGCTCTTCGTAGCAGCGCCGCACGCTTGGTCGAGAGTAAAAAGCTCATCGACGGACATGTCGAGGACGCGAAGGAGCTGCTCCTGATCAAAGAGGCCAGCAATGTCCGGGTTGAGGAGCAGTCGAATGTCGGTGACGTCGCAAGGCTCTTGCAGTGGAACCTGGTCGATGGGGCAGTAATTCGTCAAAAAGCGAGCGCGGCGGGACGAGAGCGGTGTGAGGCGAACAGGAGTGGACCTTGCTTGCGCGAGCGAACGGTACTGAAAGAGATACTTCTGGTCCGGGAAGACCGACTCGAGGACCGCGTCGACGGACGACGCACGCACGTGGCCCATCGCACGCTTGGTATCATGGGAGGATGCATGTTCTTGGTCCCACGCTAGGCCTGGCTTCTTTGCCCGTGTTGCGTCGGGAGTCATCTTGGCGGAGATTGCATGTCGAGGTGTTACGATTGGACGCAGCTGACGACAGTAGGTCATCGCCTCGGCCTTCGGGGGCCGCTTGGCCATGCTGCCGTCCGCGCTGTTCGAAGTTCCACCTACTTGGTTATTTTTGGAGCCAATGACGGTCGCCGTTTGCGCCGCCGTTGAAATGGAACCCGTGGCTTTTCCAGCGCAATCGAACGCACTAACGTAATAGTAGGATTGCAATGCCTCGTCCGAGTGGTGCCAGAGCCGCATCCCACGGCGCGGGCAGAAATAGCCAGGTTTGAAGGCAAGCGTGAGGTTATGAATACGGGTTGTTGAGCTCAAGACCGACCTGCGTGCGTGGTACGTCCATAGATCGGCGGCCGCGATGACGTCGTGGCATCTGGAACTTCAACACACGGACCCTACATCAGGCGCCTTCGCTTGGACGACCAAGGTCCGGTGGCTGGCCGTTTCAGGCGCCGAGTACTTTTTCGATCCTCCATCACAGGTACTGGTAGCTGAATTGTGATGGATCGTATTACAACGACCTCTTGCCACTTCCTGGTCCATGGAACGAAGTGGGCAGTGGATCCGACGCTGGTATCTCGGGCACTTCTGAAGCAGAAGGCGTACCGCCTACGACGTACTACTCCTTTGTGCTTCTTGCAGGATACATCGCTTGGGTTGCACTCGCTTTTCAACCGTAGTTCAGAGATACCGCTTCGATTTTCAGCGGTCGTGTCGGGTTTCGCACGTTCCAACGAGGATGACCCGTACCATAGACTAGTTAGTGCATACGTGGTGCGTTCGAAATATTATAAATTAATTCAAGATGGGTCGCAGTGCAGATTCTAGCAAAATTTCCTCGGCGCCGTATTGCCTCATGTGTACGTGCACCAGGATTTCGTTGAAGTGGTGCAACTAAACGCAAGCCAATCGCAAGCAACGAGCGGGCAAGTCCCTCGATGCAGGCACTGCCCGCGTATCTCCCAGGAGTCGACTCTTGCGTGGACAGGCGACACACGTGCACGCCGCCGGTGCTGCTATCCGTCGTCGTTGCGCCCATCATCGTCGGGTGTGTTATGCTCGCCCTCTCATCGCGGTCGCACGATGGGGCCAGTAGTCGCTATCATGTGCGCTTGCACGCTGCGATGCGAGCTGATAGCCTCTTATAGACGATGACAAGATGCAAACCCGACGTCGATAAGTATCCATTTCGTGCTATTTCCTTGCTTTTGCCCAACCTTCAAGACCTCGTCGGGCGAATCGCTCGTGCCTCGTGCCGTCCAGATCGACGACGCTGACGTTTCCGTGAGGTGCGCATGCACCCGACTGTATGTCGTTCGCTTTGCTGTGATGCTCCAAGATCGCAAACAAGACGAGTATTTGAGTAAATGCGTCACGACGGCCTTGTCCTACTGCGGGGCAACTGCACTTCAAGAAACGGGCAGCGGGAGGGAGATTCCTTCCAGACGCAAGTGTTGCGACGGTATCTTGCGAGTCGCCCACCAAGCTGTGCACGGCTTTCGAAAGCTGCCGAGTCGCATTTCCATATCCGGGTGTTTCGGACCGAGATCCGATATTTCACTTTTGCATTTCCCAAGTCGTACATCATCATCAGTATGCCCATCAAGGTCCGCGCCGACAGCTACGGTGACGACGACACGTCGATCGCTTCGTCGTCGTCGTCGTCCGCGTCGCCATCCCGGTGCTTCTACACGGCTCGCGCCTACGACGCCGCGCCCAAGCCCAAGGTGAACAAGACGTGCCTCTACCGGACAGGCAAGTGCAACAACGCCCGCCACGTCAAGCCTAACGGGTCGCTCCACAAAATGTGCACGTACCACCGGTCCAAGGCCAACGAGAACCAGCGCCGGCTCGACCAGAAGAAGAAGGACGCAGGCTTCCACCGGCGCGAGCGCATCTCGGCCTTCAAGGTCAAGGGCGTCCTGCAGCCAAAGAAAGGGTCGGCAGCAGCCATCTCGAAACCAGCTTCGCTGTTTACGCTGCCGCCGCTGCCGGAGGACTACATGCCCGACGTCATGATTCCGTACCTCCTCGAGCACTACCATGCGCTCGCTATGGCCACGGACGACAGCACCGACGACGGAATCCTGCGCGTCTAACATCCCGCGCATCGTCTTCTTCTCTCCTGCCATAGTATTTAGTTTTAGTAGTTTTGTATTGCGCTGCAGTCGTTGTTTATAGTAAGTAGATCGTTTCTGTAGGTTTAGTCGTTGGTCCTGTCTCATTTATTCGCCAAGTGTACGCCATTTGAACGTGTGTCTTTGTGTTGCTTTTACGACCCAGAGCACCACACCCGGTGCGCCAGCCGAACGAGGCAGTCGGGCACACCGTCGTCCTACCGTTCATTTCAGCACGCAAATAGAATCTCAAGGACGCACCACAAAAAGCGCCTGCACGGCAGCCTCGTCCGTGAGCGACAGTACACGACGGACAAACGCAGTCGTGTCCAGTTGAAACGCGCCACCGGTAAGCACGTAGGCGCCTTCAATGCCCAGCCGTGCCTTGGCGATCGTCCGCAACAGCACGTCGAGCACCAAGCACACATCGGCCGTCGTCAAACCCCAGAGCCCGAGCTCAAACGCAATGTCGTCAATGATTTCCTCATCGTCCGATGACGAGGCGCACAGCTCCGAGAGCGACAAAAGCCTCGAGCGCGCGAGGACCAGCGTCGCAGCTGCGGCCTTGGGCGCCGGCGCGCAGATACAGTCGGCGCCAAGAAAGTCATCGAGGACGGCAATCGCTGTTGGGACATGGCCGCAGAGAGCGTTCGCGGCGCGAACAAACGCCAAGAGCTTTGGCCATTGGCGTGGCCAGCGGTGAAAGAGCTTGCGTGGGAAACGCAGGGCGCGCAAATGCATACCGACAAGCGCGTCCTGGGCATCGAGTAGCCGCAGCAAGCACGTACGGAGGACGACAAAGTCACTAAAGCCACGGTCAATGGACCACGACGCGGCCGCGTCATGCACGTGGAGCGTGTACGTGCTACTATTAGTGCAAAGCACGATCGACGGTGGGTCAAGGTCAATCGTGCGCATGCTAGTGGAATGGAAAGAAGATGCACGCAGAGCGACAATGCGCTTTTGCTGTGGAAGGAAGAGGCCCAACATGATGGCAGCCACGATAAACGAGCCACCGAAATGGCCCCGTGATGGGTTTCGCGCAACGAGGACGCGGCGCCCGTCTTATTTCACCGAACGTTGAAGGTCGGCGACGTATGGTGCCCTAGCCCTATCTCACTCGCCACCATTGGCGAGGTGGCGCTTCGATTTTAAAGCCAATGGCGGAGATCGTGCCATCGGAAAGGCAATAGGAGAGTTGGAACGCAGGGAATTGTATTGGCAAGGTATAGGCGGCGCTTGGTCTTCCAGGGAACCTCTCTCAACGCGTCGATGGTGCAGCCATGAGCGCAGCTATCACCTGAAACGCATGAATTGAGATGTAATCAACGTACGATGTAGGAAGCTTCAAGTTTATTGCCGGAGATCGCAATGATGGAGGTACGCACGACGAGCAACTGGGGCCCTTCCCGGCACGAGTGTGTGTGGCAGTGTTCCCAAGCGAGTGGGCGTTTAGTACCTTCAAGTATCCAAAAGACCAGTACTTGATGCCGGTAGCCACGAGCCAAGTGTATGGTAGGTCCAGCAAAACTGGTTTCTCGTCGTCGGACGAACTTGCGACCAGCTCCATGGCCAGACGCTTCTCGCATGTGCTGCATGGAAACCTCGGATCGAAGAACTGCCAGTTCAACGTCAGCAATTGTTGATTGCGCCGCACACATTGTCACAGGGCACAAGAGCTCGTCATTATCGGGCACTCGACAACCTTGTCCTGCACTCGAGCGTCCTGCGCCAAACTGGCAGATACAGTCTGTGCTTGTCCCCTAATATGTGCACTTATCGTCATCCATTATCATACTGTAAAGAAAAAGTCGTGTGAAGATTGGTGCCAACATTGCAACCGCCCGCTTCTTTGCCGCGCCCCGTTTTCTAGGCCGCACCAAGATAACGTTGCCGATCGTCCTGCACCGCGACCTCCAGTCGTTGACACCGCCTCAGTCGCTGGCGTCTCTCGAGGACCTCAACAAACTGCGTGCTTTGCCACCAACGGCAAAGCTTGGCAGGCCTTCACACAGCGTGTCGTCATAGGCCTTACCCGCGGCCACAACCGCCCCGGAAGACTACACAAGAGCAAGACGAGCCCCCTTGCCGCCGCCTGCGCAAGCCACGGCCCGGCGAGCGAATGAAGAAGGAGATTGCTAGTCTCTACGCTCAAAGTATGCGAACGCTTGTAAAAACGAAGATAACGCGAAACACGTTCATATATATCGGTGTAAATTAGCGGGATTTTCGAAGCCATGGGTACGGCGCATAGAATGGCTGGAAGGGCCCGTCGTCGAGAAATGCGACGTCGCCATTGTGTCGAATAAGAAGATCCACCGCATCAGCGGCGCTTGGCCGATCGATTGGGTCCTTGGCCATGCACTGGTGGGCAAGGTTGCGGTACCAGTCGGGGCAGTTGGGGCGGAGCGCCGGTCGCAGTGCATTGTCGACGATGTCCAGAAGCAGGCTGTTGCGACAACGGTCGTCCGGGCCAAACGGCGGGACGCCCGTGTCCAAGTAGCACAAGATCACGCCGAACGCATACATGTCGGCCGCCGGCGTCTCGTTGCGGTAGTCTTCGTACAGCTCTGGCGCCCAGTAGTACGGCTCGCCCTCAAAGTACATGCGGCTAAACGTTGGGTCTTCGTGGTACAAGGATCCGCCAAAATCGGAGAGCTTGATCTCTTCGTTCGAGGTCACATAGATTTTGTTGGGGTGGAGCTGGCCGTGCACAAGCCCGTGCTCGTGGATCATGTCGAGGCCCATCGCGACAGCCAGCGCGATGTCGAGCGTCGACGGATTCAAGCCCGTTGGGCGGCCAGCGCTGCGATACGCGAGGTACTGTGAGAGGCGGTAGCCATCGACCCACTCGGTCACGATCTTCGGTCGGTCCGGGTTGGCGTCGATGATGCCATGGACGGCGACAGTGTACGGTGACCGCAAGCTACGATAGCAATCCTGAGTGACGCTGCGTTCACGCCGATTGGTACCTATAGGCCTTGCGCATGCTGGCGAGATACGTCGGGCGAGGCACGTTGTTGATGGTTCGGACTGTCACGGGTTTGCTCTTGTACAGCGCGCGATCGACGCGGCCGTGGGCGTCGTGGCCAATGGTCTCGAGCATCTGGAGCTTCGCGCAGTCGATCGAGCCATCCGATGCATGTAGTGGTGACGGGGGTAGCACGTCCGGGTCGACGTCCTTCTCGCCCTCGGGCTCGGCAGCGTCCGACCAGCACGGCGCAGAATGGCGGAGCCCCATGAATAATGATCAAATGACGCCTTCCGCCAATGACATTGATGTGCGACATGAGGCAGTAGCCAATCACAGCCTGCGGTGTGAGATCTAAATTTTAGCCGGCTTTGGAGAAACAGGGTGGATGCCAGACCTCTTGCTTTTGCGACGGCGCAAAAGAAGTGCCCCTCGAACTCGATGTCATTGCTAGTCAGCGTGTGTGTTTCTCTCGTTCTCGCTACGCACAAGGCCGGTCGGGAGCCGCTCGTGACCATTTTTGTCGATGAACCATCATCTATCAGTCCAATGCGCTCGTAACGATATGCGCTGGCCACCCATCGTTGACAGTGAGTCAATGAATTTGCCGCTGCGTATTGATTATTCTACTACTGTATGAACGAGGACCCAGATAGATGACAAAAACAAAAGACAATAGGGAGGGTGTGGGGCGTATATATTGGTGTGTAGAGAATGGTTCGGCACGCACATTACAGCACGTCGGTTCATCCCAGGATTGATCATGCAAGATATGCAAGGACGGAGCTGCCCCAGCACCCGAGAAGCGCAGCACGTTGAGCTGCACGTTGCTGGTCAGACCAGTTCACCAAGATTCTGCGTACGACCTTGGCACCTCCAATCACTGCCGAGAAAACAATCGAATTATAGCCAATCACGAAGATGGCTGTCACATCAAGAAGATCCGAACGAACGACAGCATGGACCAAGAGCAGCGGGGAAAGAAGCTCTACTCGTACCCGATCCTCAAGCTGCATGAGATCGTCGCGAGCCTTCGCAGCCTCAACATCGCCTTCGTGGAGGACGACCTCCGCAGCTGCCAGCCCGACGCGGTACGGCGACTCTGACCTGCGTGGTCCATCATGCGGCCGTAGCTGCGCAAGATCCTCGAGGAGTTCATCCGCAACACCATGGGCATCGGCCGAGACGAGATGAGCCAGCCAGCGCTGGTCGGGCTCAGTGAGCTCACAGTCCAGCTGCACAGCGGCTCCGTGGGCGAGATCACGTACTTCCGGACGATCTCCCGGCTCTTGGCGACGGCGGGCTTGCGGGACTTCCGATGGGACGACGTGTACAAGCCGACGCTGAAGCGCTACCGTCGCATCTTAAGCGCATTGATCAACTTTACTCGGTTCCGCTACGAGCGCTGGGCCCGAGTCGGTCAGAACGAGGACAAGCTTGTAAGCGCTGCCTGTCTCGTCTTCATGATCACAAGGAATGTTATAGGTCCGGATTCGCGCAGAGCGTCAAACCGCCGAAGAAGAGAACGCTACGTTGCGACGACAGCTTGTGGATCTGCAGTTCGTCGAGCTGTAGTTGAGGCCAGTCGAACGATTTGATACGGCGTAGAAGCGAGCAGAGTGCCGAAGCGGAAGCGCTCCAAAATGCCATGGATGAGTCCTCGGCGCTCGAAGACGAGATCTACACGCTGAACAAGCGCCAAGCTGTCGTACGTCATGAGAATACTGGGCTCAAGGCCCAATGCAGTCACCTGCGCGACGAATACGTACGTACTCCTGTCTATTCCCAGGTTGCAGAAGAGTGCATGAAGACCTTTACTGTAGGCGTCGCTGCGCATCGATATCTCGGAAGCCAAGGCCTCCGTGAACAAGCTGGAGTCAAAAATCGTCAACTCGCCGGCTCGGTTCAAATCGGTACCTTCAGACAGGACCAATGTCCTTTCGCCACGAACGATCTAACTGGCCTTGTGTAGGACATTGGAGACATATCCGTCAAGGTCGACGCCGCCAAAGAAGAGCTGGCGCTCTTGGAAGCACGTACAACCGAGCTCGACAGTATCTACGATGCGTTCGCCCGTGCGGACCAGGTCAGTACCGCTTGCGTGCCATCTTGCATACCACCGCCTAGATGCATGTACGCATGTAGGAAACCAACGCGGCGGTGGATTTGATGCACGAGACCGAAGTCGAAAGCCAGAGCTGTCGGAACGAGAAGAAAAACATCAAGGCGCAGCACCACGAGATCGAAAGCACTTTTCACAAAACCAAGCAAGCGGTGGCCCACCACGCAGTTCGTTGACGAGCGAGTCGCCAGAAGCGTTTGCTGCAACGCGCGCTATGTTTGTAGCGCTTGCACAAGCTTGTGCTGCAGCGCAACAGTCAACTAGAACAGTACAAGATGCAGCATTCGACCAAGCTCCAGGCTGCCGACAACGTACACGCTCTTCGTTTCCAACGAGTTGCTTCATTTTGACTAGGCCTTGGCGTCTGCGACGACTGAGCTCAAAGACTTCCTCAAGACGAATCGCGCCATGGAGCAGAGCACCCAAACCACGAGCAATGCGACGCATGAGCTCAAACGCCATGTATCGTGTTTCCATCACTCGAAAAGATCGTACAATTGAACAACTCGTAGGCGTCCCGCGAGGAAAGCGTGTTCAGGCGCCGCATGCAGGAAGTGGACGAGGCAAACAAAGACCACTGTCTGCGATTCATGACATGAATGGCGCTTAGGCTTTTGAAAAGCTGGACTTGCAGGTCAAGGTCTACAGTCGAACTGTTTTCAGCGCGCTGCCCTTGCCAGCGTCGTAGGCGCCCTCTTCGACATCCCATCCGCGGACGCGAGAAATCATCAACATGACTTGTGCTTCCATTCGTGATCGCGGAGATACTCCGGCGCGGCAGCACCTCGTTGCGGTGCCTGAAGTAGTACACAAAACGGCTTGTTGACGCGGGACGCCCTCTCTACTGTGCGCCATCATCGTCATGGTACCACCACCAAGGCGAGCTCTTCAACGTGGGCTATGATTGGCTCCCGCTGGATTCTTGAAGCCACTGGCCGAAAGATCTTGTGGCTACGGGCAACGGACAACGTGGTGCAGCGTCCCAGCACGACGAGCTTGTACTTGCGCGGAGCGATAGGTGCATCGACACGCCGTGCGCATGGCACCGCGTCAAGGACCTCCCGACCGACGCAGTCTGCTCCGGACCGCAACCGGCGCGATGAATCCAGTACGGATACAGTGGATTTAACCGGCAGGTCAAGCTGGGAACGGGAGTGACTGGTCATTTTGGGAAACGAAAGATCGAAGCCAAGATGCAGTTCGTCCGCGCCGGTCGCCGCAGCAAGCACACGCTCGTGCTCCTCCGCCACGGTGAGAGCGAGTGGAACAAACTCAACAAGTTCACGGGCTGGTACGACGTGGCGCTGAGCGCCAAGGGCCACGAAGAGGCCAAGGCCGCGGGCCAGCTCATCAAGGACGCCAACCTCAAGTTTGACGTCGCGTACACGTCGTACCTCAAGCGCGCGATCCGCACCTTGTGGCATGTGCTTGAAGAGAGCAACCAGATGTACATCCCGGTCGAGCACCGCTGGCGCCTCAACGAACGTCACTACGGCCTCCTCACGGGCCTCGACAAGAACGAGACGGTCCAGAAGCACGGCAAGGAGCAGGTGCTTGTGTGGCGCCGCAGCTACGACATTCCGCCGCCGCAGCTCACGACGGACAACGAGTACTACCCGGGCCACGACCGTCGCTACAGCGGTTTGGACACGAAGGACTTGCCGCTCAGCGAGTCGCTCAAGATGACGGCCGAGCGTGTCATGCCGACGTGGCGTGAGGAGATTGAGCCGAGCATCCGTGCGGGCAAGAACGTTGTGATTGCGGCCCACGGCAACAGCTTGCGCGCGCTTGTTATGGAGCTCGACAACATTTCTAAGGACGAGATCACGGATCTCAACATCCCGACCGGCATCCCGCTTGTCTACCACTTGGACGACAACCTGAAGCCGATTCCGCACAAGGACGCAATCGCGCCCCTCAGCGGCTACTACCTGGGCAACCAAGATGAAATCCGCCAGCGCATCCTTGGCGTCAAGAACCAAACCAAGTAACTAATACGATCCAAGTACCGTGAACACGACCATAGTAGATGCACATTACTTGTCACCAGCACGGCTACGTCGTTGCCAGTACATGAATCAGTTCCTCGCAACTACCAGCTACGTAGTTTCCATATGCAGTGACACCATGCTGCCATGCTTCCGCGATGCTGTGCAACGCGGAGGTCCTTGATGAACAACTGCATTGTGGGTGTAGAAGCAGCGTCATCGAATTGGGCTGTGGCATGACCAAGGCAGAGGCACTCTGCTTAGAGGTCGATTAACAAGCCACGAGCTTTCCTCTCTGGGGACAAACTAGCCATCCAAAGCCTCACGCTTGCCGACAGAATAAGAAGACGACGACGCTCCCGGCGACAAGAACCTCCCTGTTCCCGACCCGTCAGGCCAGTGCCGCTTGGACTGACAGAATTTTAGCCAATCGGATGGCGTTTAAAACGAGTGGCAGCCACTTTGCCTTTGGTCGAGAGTTCAGAAATAAAATACGTCAATTCAAAACAGTGCTTCTCTCTAAATAATATCACGTGATATGTATGTGCTTCACGATAACGCAATTAAATACGATTCGAAGAAGCAAAATATTATCCGAACTGCCCATCTTGGCGGCGATGTTTCTCATTCTGCATTTTGCGTCTTTCAAGGCAAGTGTCTTGAGGAGCATCTTCATTCGTATTGAACATTGTATGGCTTTCGAAGACAACGATGATAAACAGCTCCCTCTACTGAATTCTAATCTGTGGAAATGCTGCAATCCGGAATCACTATATTGCACCACTGAGTCTTCAATAGTCCATATCAAACTCATTTACATAGAAACCCTGTTGCGATGATGCAAACAAACTTCTCTGAGGCTTGAACCAACTAGCCGTGAAGGCAAGATATACACTATCACCCATAATGTGAGCAACACATAAACTTAGTCTAGCTTCATGTGTAGGAACGAAGGGTATGATGTCTATTTCCATTGGTCCGTGTTCTAGATCCGCGTTATCGCGATGATATTTTTTCAATGGTCTGACCCTTCAACTACAATTTATTCTATGTCTTAATATCTGCTTCCCATCACTCCACGCCGGCAGTATTTTTGATCCCGCTGAAAAGTTGGATCTTATTGTGACTGAACCAGTACTTTTTACGGAAGCAATAACATTCAGCGATTCCTACGGATGCGGCCGTTGTCATGTACGGTCGTATCAACAATGTCTTGCTGACATCTATATTGCTATTCGGTACTCGTAGGTATTTTATACAAAAATGAGCGATGATTACAAATCTATGCACCACTCTGAATGCATATTACCCTTTGCGAGTCATGTTGAGACATACACCTGTGTTTATGAAGCTCATTTGTACATACATTATTAGTAGTTTCAAAAAGATTGATGATACTTCTATGGATTCCCCTTCTAGAAGCCCCATGTGGCAATGTAGAAGATCCGTTAGATATCTGACTTTTATTTATTGGCGATGAGGATTGTTATTTACAGACCTGTTCTGAACGACAATTATGTGGAAGTATAACATGCATCACCATCTGAGCCAACTCCTCTTATTGCATTCTTGCATTTTTCATTGGAAAGCTAAGGAGTAAAACTAACAACTCACTGAACTCAGCTGAAGAGACATAATTTCTGTGTTATCATCATGAGGCTTTCTCTGCATATATGTCTGCTTTTACATATATATTTCTGCTGTATTCGACTATGGAACCAAGAGCGAATGATTACAAATCTATGCACCACTCTGAATGCATATTACCCTTTGCGAGTCATGTTGAGACATACACCTGTGTTTATGAAGCTCTTATCCTACTATATTTTGTCCTTGGCGATGAGGATTGTTATTTACAGACCTGTTCTGAACGACAATCATGTGGAAGTATAACATGCATCACCATCTGAGCCAATACTCTTCCTTCACGTATTTCTAAGCACTCGATTCTTGATAGTATAACAATTTCCACAAAACTAAAGACTTTTTCCCGAAATCAAATTGTCCCCTGTACACTGACTTTTGCTAACGCTGTGAGGAGCGCGGTATAGCGGCTTGAACATTACGGGTCCTTCACGAACATAATCAACGCATCAGTGAGTATCACAACTTGTGTACACACAGTTACTCTGATCAAGTATGGGCTCTGAGAGCCTGAGCGACGGCTTGTGCGGTCGGTCGTTGCGTTGGATCCGCAGACAAGCATGATGCCACAAGCTCACGATACCAATTAGGGCAACCGTCGGACAAGGCCGGCATCAAAACGCCGTTGGCAATGGCTATTTGAATTCGCATGTACGTGAGCCCTTGGCGGAACGCTTCGGTGTACGGCGGCTCCCATGTCGAGAGCTCGACAAGGAGAACGCCCAGTGAATAGACGTTGGCGGCACTGGTCGCCGCGTCGATCTCGCAGGTCAAGATCTCAGGCGCCCAGAAGAAGGACTCGCTTTTGTTGGTGCACATGGTCATCGTCGCGCACGAGGCATCTAAACCTAACGTCACGTCCGAGAGTTTGATGTCGCCTTTGCTGTTAAGGAGCACGTTTCGCGGTTGGAGGTGCTCGTAGACCAAGTGGATGCCATGGAGCTCGGTGAGGCCATCGGCTACAGCGACGGCAATGCTCACAAGTGACGGGTCCAATGCTGGCCGTTCCTTGTTCGCGCGGCGCTTTCGCTCGACAAGCTGCTCGACCGAGCCACCGTCCATGAACTCAGTCACGAGCCATGGCGTGCTCGAGAGCGGGTTCGTAACGCCGACAAGGGCGACGATGTAGCTTGAGCCGAGTCTGCAAGCGTGCGAACATTAGATCTCAACGTCATGGCCGAGCAAACATGGGTGTACCTGTGCACCTTGAGTGCGTAGCGACAAAACTCGTCCGAGAGCTTTTCGTCCAGCGTGCGCACGGCGACGGCGCGGCCGCGGAAATCAGCTCGTACCACAGGCCCGCGACCGCCGTCGCCAATCGTGCCCAGTACCGTGAGCTCGGACGCCGCTATGACGGGCAGCGCCGACGCCGCAGCGACGGGTAGCTCGACGTCGGGCCGCTCGTTCGAGGTATCCTTGCTGTCGACGAGTGGGTCCGCGAGCGCTACTGCGTCTGCGGACGTACAGCAGTGCGTCGATCCACTGGCGCCCATGCCACTGCCGCCTTTCTTCGTTGTTGTTGAAATGGGTCAATTTAAATTTTAATGAGCAGAGCTCGCTGGAAAGCCGACTTTCTTCGTTGTGCACTTGGTTTCAGCAAACGACCCAACCTCGAAACAACTCATGCCAATCGAATCGTCCATGCCAATAACCTTGACGCGATCCCACTCTTTTCCGCGACGACGGTGGCGAGGCATGCTGGACTACGTACCCTAATAGCTCGTCCATGAAGACCCTCTAAGACGACACGTTCTGTCTTTGGAACGATCGACAACTTTACCGTTGTCGAGCAACGCTCCTGCGTGCATTTTGACCAATGAGCGGGTCCGAGATAAAAACAGTGCTCGACCTGTTTTAAACAGGGGACAATAATACCACGGGTTGTTGACCGGATGCCCACAAGCGTGCCATCGCCGCCGGTGCCAATGACGACGCGCCGAAGCGCCGCGCCCGACAGCAACAAGGAGGCGCATATCGCGGCGCTGAGTCCTCTCGACACTGCGAGTAGGCTCGCACGCGACTTGGCCTTTCTCAAGCAGCGTCGTCGTAGGCGCCAACGACGACGGCCCGACCGCCCAGGTCCCGCCGCCAACGGCCGAGGCCGCGCCGCGCGTGTCGCCGACGCACCCGCTTCTGCGCAAGTCGTCGTCCAACTTTGGCCGCGAGAAGATCCTCGGACGGTACACCGTCACAGACGCCAACCTCATGTGCAGTGAGATCCTCGACCAAATGAACGCCAAGCTGAGCGGCAGCATGGCCGACGCCAAGCCTCCAGGTAAAATGGCTTCTTCTGCGTGCGATAAATCCAGCTGGCGGTGTAGTTGCCATCAACTGGGACGACGTTGCCGCCAAGATGGCGTCCAAGCACAAATTGCAGTGGCGGCCTCGGTACCGTACGACGCCCACGGCAATATGCCTTGACGTCCCTGCATTAGCGCTTGCCAAGAGCTCTGGAAGTTTCTCGCCTACGAAGACGTGCCGCCGCATGGAATGGACCTCTCGGGCGCCGCGTCAGACAGCGACGACGACGCGCTCGCGCCCGACTCGGACGTAGAGGACCTCGGCGCGACGGCTGAGATCTTGGAGCACAAGCGCGCAGGTCGACTCTTTTTCTTGACAAGTTGGTCATCTATCGATGCTTCTATAGCCTTCAAGCTCAACGACAAGACCGAGAAGATCCAGCCGGTGATGCAGACCAAGGGCCTTTTTGAGAACGTGGGCGCCAAGCCCCGCGTGACACCGTCGCCCAAGCCCGTCAAGCCGACACCTGACGCCGAGCCGCTGCGCCTGTACCCGACGTACCACCCCAACGGGTACGAGAAGCGACCACGGGCCGAGACGGACGAAGCCAGAGGCAGCTACGCGCCGCTGCATGTGGTCGCAGAGCAATTCCTAAAGCGCCGCAAGCTCGAGACGTTTGCTGCGCAGAAGAGCACGATGCCCGTAAAGCAGCTGCTGTCGCTGCCGCCGCAGGTGCCGCCGCGGCCCGTGCCCGCGTCTGGCGCGTTCGACTACTTCAAGGACCTCTACGTCGAGCGCTCAGTGACAGATATTCACGTTCTGCAGCAGCTCTTCCAGGGTGCATCACCCGCCGTTTTGGCCAAGTGCCAGCAGCTCGCGATGCAGGACCTCGAGCGCTTCCAGCGCGAGTGCCTTCGCTATCGCTTGTATGAGAAAGCTCGTCTTACGACGGGATCGCCGCAGAATCTTCAGCACCAAGAGCAAGAACAGCGCCAGCAGCAGTTCCAACAGCAGCAGCAACAACAACAGCAGCAGCAGCAACAACAACAACAACATCAACAGCAGCAACGGCAGCAGCAGCAACAACACCAGCAGTACCAGCATCAACACTCGAATCAGCAGCAAGTCCCCCAAAAACCGGCCCCGTCCAAGCAACCCGCACACAAGCAGCCGGCACCGAAGAAGCCATCTCAGAAGCAACCAACGCCAAAGCTGCAACATCACCCGTCGCAGGTCCAGTATGCCCCGTACGGCCCGCAGCACCAGCATCAGCAGCGACAAGCGCAGTACGCGCAGCAGCAGCGAGGACACCATCCGCACCCAACGACCCCGTCAGCTCAACACCAAGCGACTCTGCACTACCAGCACCATCTGCAGCAGCAGCAGCAACAACAGCAGCAGCAGCCACAACATGGCGCGAATCCGAATGCATAACGAAGTCGTCCTCATGTGCACCGGTAAATCAAAGCTGGTAACTTGCGGTCCATGTGCTTTGTCGTATCTCGACAGTCTGGGTCTTGACACGAAACAAAGGAGCAAAGTGCGTTAAGATTATGTTGGAATGCCTACTTGCCATACGTGTTGGAGGCCCAGACCGGACGGCAGCCCGGGTCGTAGATGACAAAGTTGCCGTCGTCCTGCATGATGGCGCAAAAGTCCTTTTGGTCGACGGGAAACATGTCAGGGATCCACGAAGCAATGTCTTCGTTGACGTCGTACACGACGACTTGACCCGTGTTGAGGATCTGCAGCACTTGGCCAGCATACTCAGCGTCGGCCACATCGCTGTAGCCCGAGTTGGCCGACCACGTCACCTTGTTCGTTGCCCTGTTGATGACGCGGAAGTCACCGGTCGTCGAAAAGTTGGCCACGTGCGATAACGTACGCGACACGAGCTGGAACGGGTAGGGGACCGTCCAGTTGGTTGGGAACCGAGCGACGCGGTTGGTCTTGTCGCTGTTGGAGCAAATGCTGGCGGCCACTTGGCTTGTGCACACCGCGCAGCACGCAGCGTACGCGGTCGGCGCCAACGAAAGCGCGGCGCAAGCGAGGAGAGCGGAAATCTTCATCGAGGAAATTGGATTCTGGGGACAGACGTCGTAACTCGGTCGTTGAAGGCGTTGGCTTCCACAATCTCCGAACCGCAAACGAACAAGACGCGCGTTGGGATTCGAACTCGACGTTCTTGACGGACCGACGCTGGACACAGGATAGGCATCTCCCCCGAACGTTAGGCTCAACGTATGCAGTAGCCCTAGACCCTAGTGGAGGTTGGGCAGCACTATTACCATTGTGCGTCCGTCGACTCTCTCTGCATGATTGGTGCCGAGCGATCATGACGCCACCAGGTTGGGAAGGTAGTCTGCGACCAGAAACGACGTCCAGCCATGTTGAATATCAACGTCAAACTCAATTTCAAATGCGCTTTGGAATCGTCTTGCATCTCCTTATTCGATCTCAACACGCGCGATTGATCCGATCGTGCTGGGTGCTGGGTCGTCGTTCCATTTCAGAAAAGGGGGTGCTCTCTCCCAGATGCCTGCGATGGCAAGACCGTTGCACCACCTCGCGATTCCATAGTGCGCCTTTGCTCGGATCGCAGCCTCGACCGCGCAACTTGCCACACGGCCTTGATTTTGGATACCAAGCAAGCGACCGTTCGTGGACCCCGGGGCACGACATGGATCTTGGCAACTTGTCCGGTTAATTTCCGGACGGCCACAAGCGATGTTTTCGGCAGGCCGCGCGACGCAGCCGACAGCGCCGACAGAGGCCAAGGCGATAGGTAGGCGTCGAAGAACCGAGCATGACCTCATGTGGATCGCATATGTAGCATGGCTGAATGTGGGCAAGAGCTACAAGGCCGGCGACGATGATGAGGATGCGAACGAAGGGTTTACACCTGTGGCTCCATCGCGGCCGCCCGCCGGTCCAGTCGCGCTGCCCACGCCTGCGCGTCGTACCGAGGAGCCGCGGGCTCTCGCGCCGAAGCGGCCTATCGTTCCTTCTAAGGTCGACAAGCTCTACGAGATTGACCATGGAAAGGACAAGGACAACCTCTTTTACGGCACGCTCAACGCGGCCGACGTGCCCCGGTACGACGAGCTCGCTAGGATTCCCCCAACGAGCCTTCTCTCTTGCCTAGGTACCACCTCTTCAAGCGCAAGCGCGACTTGGACGACGACGCGTCACTGCGCTACTTTGACGCCAAGCACACGCTCTCAGCGCTGTCCCTGCACCTCCCACGCGTGCGTTGCGAACGAGCCAACGCCGATGACGGCGTTGCGCCGCCCTTCCTTGCGCTCGAGCCGTATACGCCGATTCGCGACGAAGACGCAGAGCTCGAGAGCCAGCGGCGCGAGGCGCGGGTGGTGGCGCAGAACAAGCACTTCAACGCCGCACTGCGCCAGGACCCGTCCAACGTCGGCCTCTGGCTCGCCTACATGCACGTGCAAGCCGACGCGCTGGACGACATGAAATCCAAGACCAAGCAGCGCGCGCTCCTTCTCGAGAAGCAAGTCGCGATCTGGTCGCGCGCGATGCAAGCCAACCCCACTTCCGACGAGCTCTTGCAGCTGCAATGGTTTCTCTGCATGCAGCGCTCGGACGAAGCCGACATCATCGCCGAGCTCGAGCGCAGCGTGTTGGCGCACCCCGAGCACGCGGACGCATGGCTGCACTTGCTCCAGCGCAAGCAGATGCAGTTCAGCGCCTTCTCGGTCGCGGCGCTACGGGACCTCTTTGCCCGCATGATCCAGTCGGTTCAAATGTACGTGTTTTACGATTTAATTCTTTCCCAATGGTCTGTAATGACATCGACATTGGTGCTGTAGGTGCTCGGTGGCGTCCGACGTGCGCGACGCGACGCTTGTCCATTTTGCGACGCTTCTCTGCCGCATGGAGGCCCAGAGCGGGTACGTAGAGCGCAGCATGGGGCTGCTCCAAGCACTCCTCGAGCTCAACGTCAACTATCCGTCGCCACATGCAACGACCGAGTTTGCAGCGCACTGGGAGCAACATGGTGGCTCTAGGTGGGGCGAGCGCGGGCTCGATACCGGCAACGTACGTACGTCGCACCTCATTTCGAACGATCCGATCGCGTTCGTAGGTGCCACCTCTCTCAACGGCGCTGCCGTCCATGGAGACGTTTCTCGCAAGCGTCCAAGAGCGCAGCGAACGGTCGCTGGAAGCGTCGCAGCCGCCTCTGCACTTGCGCAAGCTGCCGCACCATCTGCCCGAGAGTGCAGAGGATCGCGGCTTCGATGCCCTCTATGACGAGAGATCTTCGTCCAAGCGAGAGGAGAACGACGACGGCGATCAAGACGAAGGCTATGTGTGGAGCAACATCCATGGTCACCGCGTGCGCATCAAGGACGCCGAAGACGCCGCCGAGTACGAGCGTATCTTGCGCGAGCTTCGGTCCGACCAGCCACTGGTCGACGACATCCTTCCGTCCAATAAGAACAAGAAGAAGGCAGCCAACACCCACGTGGACGAACGCCTTGCGTACGATCGGCTGCGCGACGACAACGAGCACGCGATGTTGCTGCTCGAAGAGGACTTGCTCGCGGCGACGCAGTGGCGCCCGCTGCGCCCGAACGACCCCGCGGACGCACCACTGTACCTACCCTCCTGCACTAGTATGGAGATTGAAATGGACTGGTATAGGATCGACGCGCAGCCCGACCGTGTGTTGCTCTTGGACGAGATCCAGCCCTTTTTCTTCACCGTGCAGCCGACGATGCACGTGCAGCTCTTTCTCGCACTCCTCGCACAAGTCGGCGTACGCCCGAGATTTAGCGCGCCCGAATACATGTACTCGGACGCGCTGGATGCAGATACGACTGCACTCGAAACTCTCTGCGCTGCCTTCTTCCAAAGCGACGCACCGCCGCCGATCAATGCGCGCGATATGCTCGACACAATCCTCCACGACCGCATCGTCGTGGCGCGCGACACGCTCTTGGATCCGTCCAAGCTCGAGTACGCGCGGCGGCTTCTTCTCCGCGGCTACGCGCAGCTACAGCGCATCGACTGCCTCGTCATGGCCCTCGACCTCGAGACGCATGTTGGACGACATCTTGGCGAGTATGAGCCCGCGCGCACCTTTGCCAAACACGTGCTGTCGCGCGAAACCTCGTCGTTCAGGCTTTACGAGCGCTATGCGTACATGGAGTGGCGCTTCGGCAACGACAAGATGACGACGCGCATCTGCGAAAAGACAGCGGCGTCCGCGGCCACGACGCTCGAGATCCACCGCTTTGCGTACTGGCGCCTTCGCCTCGCGCTCAACCAAACGGACGACGGTAGCTGCTTCTGGCAGTGTATCTACCTTCTCTACGCCGCGTACGACCCGACGTACGCTGCTTGATCGATGCAATTGCACGCGTGTTGACGATCACGTAGGGCCGAGTCGCTCTCGAAAGCCTGTAAACGGCTTAAGAAGCAAAAGACGCCTTTAAGCGCGCTGCTGACACCGACGATGCAGGCTCGTTTGCGCCAAAGCACACAGCGAGACGTTCAAGCTGCCTTGGATGTGCTTGGCACCGAGACGCAGGCGACCGCCAGTAGTGTGCCCATTGCGGCATTGTGTCTCTACCACGCACTGCTGGTGGAGTTTGTTCTTGGCGGGTGTGCGCGCGAGCTCCTCCTCACGCGTCTTCGCACATCGCTCGACGCTCTTGAAACAGCATCACGACCGGGTCAAAAAAGAGATGATGAACCGACGGCCGTCGGTGTCACGCGCCAGTGGTTTCTTGCAGCGGGCTTGGACTTGCTTCTCCGCGCCGGCGCCTCGCCCAAGCTGTGGCGCCTGGGCACCCACTTGGCCGTCTCGGCGGTACGAAGAACCTCGTGTACGAGTGAGATTGCTGCACGTGCCGTCGAGTAGGTGCCATCGCAGTCGGTGTTTATCTCGCTCTTTGTGGACGCAGAGAAGAAAAACACGATGGGCCAACAAGTGCGGCGGTTCGTCCAAGGCGCGGTGCAGGCCGCGCAAAAGCATTTTGACGCGCCCTCGCCCCAGGTACTTTCGTCGGTTGACGACTTTTTTGTTGACTCTTGCAACGGTAGCTCTGGCTGCTCGCGCTGCTCGCAGAGCTGTACCGTGCGGGGCCGAGCGACGCGGCGTGCTGTGCGCGCCACGCGTGGGGCGCCGTCGCCATCCAGCGCATTCGCCAGGTCTTTGAAGATGGTCTCTCCCACGCAAGTTGGCGCTCCGAAGGGTATGCGTTCTCTTCCGTCTCGAGACGCGTATCGAATGATCGCGTAGGTGTGCGGTGCTTTGGCGGCTCTACCTCCGCTTTGAAGTGCACGTGGGGTGCGTTGAGCGCGCGACCAAGGTCCTCTACCGCAGCATCCACAAGTGTCCGTGGTCCAAAGCGCTGTATCTGGACGCGATCCGGGTGCTTGGCCCGTACCTCGACACCGCGACGCACGACGAAATCCTCGGATGGCTCGTCGCCAAAGAACTCTATTTGCGCTTCGAGAAGGAAGACTAGAGCACGCGAGGGATGAAAATGGCCTTGACGTGCGCCTTGTACGTGGTCCAGTCGTCGCCGTACTTTTCGTGGCACGCGGCATCGTCACGGAAGGCGCGGTGGACGAGCAAAATGGCAAAGTAAATCGCGTAAAAATACACCAGGAGCGTGCCCGACCCGCAGTACGCGCACCACGCCTAGAGCATGCTGAGGTTTTTGATATCCTTGAAGTATGGAACGTACCAGGCCCATGCACCAGTCGCCCGTGTAGTTGATCTTGCGGGCCATGCCCCACCAGCCCGAGATGAGCAGCTTCGTGCCGCGCTTGGTCGCCAGGAACTTGAGGTGCGCGACGTTGGCGCCGTTGGGGTCGGTGCGGAACGCATCTTTCTGCGCGTTGGCGCCGCGGAAGATGGCGTACCCAAGGATGTTGAGCGCAATGATGGCGGCGAGACTCGCGGCGCTCAGGTGCGGGTCCCGGTCCACGAGGTAGCGCGCCTGGAGCGTGTACGTGAACGGGACCCACATCATGTCGCCGAACGCGAGCATGTAGCCAAACCCGTCAGTTGTGATGTCCATGGTCGTCAAGACGCACTAAGAGGCAATCTGAGGTTGATACCTTGATACAATTCGTACCTTTTCATGGAAGAGCGCGTCCCAGACATAGAGGTTTTGGAAAAAGACGACGCTGGCCATCGAGAGCGTGACTTCGCCATGGAGCTCGTACTGCTTGGCGAGCAAGCCGAGGTTGAGAACTGCCCAGCCAATCAAGCCCGGCCGGAGCTCGCAAAAGTACTTGAGGTCGAACGTCTGCGTGAGCGCGCTGCGCGGGTTGAGCTCGCGGCCAATGAAAAAGTTGAAGACGTGCGACGGCGACGACCCTTGCTCGGCGCAGAGCACGTCGTTGGCGCGGAACGAGAAGAGGTAGACGAAGATGCTAATGGCGCCCGAGAGGAGCATCGAGCCGACCGCGAGCTGGAGGTAGTGGTCGTAGACGTACGAGAGCGGCGTGACGTAGACGTGGAGCGCCGCCGCCGCCGCCATCGAGAGCCAAAAGCACACGTGGCCGTTGACCTTGTACGTGAGGCGCGTCTTGGTCGGGAGGAGCACGCCGTCGTGGTACGCGCCGGGTACAAGCCGCTCGAGGAGCACTTGGAAGCCAAACCAGCCAAAGACGACCGCGATCGCATTGGCGTTGACAAACTCGGAGGCTACGATCGGCGCCGTCACCTGCGCGTAGAGCTCGGCAAAGTCGAAGCGGTTGTCGACGCAGTACGACGCGTTGCAGCCGCGGACGAGGAAGACGACGACCGCGGGCAGGATGAGCATGATAAAGACGGCGCCGAGCGGGCCGCCAAACTCGTAGCTAAAGGCCTTCTTCGCGGGCTCGGGGCTAGCGGCCGGCGCGGCCGCCACGCTAGTCGTCTGCTTGCGCTGGTGCATGGCCAAAGCGGAAATGGACTGGCCGGCCTTCTACGGGCCATGATTACGTCGCTCGCGTCCGGTCGCTCATCACCAGTATCCGGATGCTGGACGAGGTGGCTAATCGCACGCAACACGTAGCAGCGTGCACGACTGTCTGTGATGAGACCCCACGGCCCCGTGCCCTCATCATGCCCGGTATACAAGTGCCTATACAAGTGGCGTACAGCAGGGCAATGATTAGCGCCAGATGCAAGCGTCGATGCTCCAAATCTTAACGCGAGAGCCTACAATGTCTATTTACACGCAAGTAGATGTCCATCGTACTACAACAGCACTGTCAGTGATGTGCCAAGAGAGCCCAGTGATTCACTGGGCTTCCTTGACGCGACAAGCTTGCATGCAAGCAGTTGATGAGCTCGGGAAGCCATATCCGGATAATGTAGCCAATGTGAGAGTCCCAAAAGACTCGGTGGGGCCGCTGATATCCGTGCTCGTAGGTATTATCTCAAGCGCACTATCCCGAGACAGCGACGTCAACATGGAGGACATGGGCCTCTGGTGGTTGGGTCGCGCGGACGCCATTTACCTTTGCGCGCCTTTGCAAGTACTGGAGCCCAACTGGCTTAGCAGCGTGCTCGGCGGCTGCAAGCACTTGGGCTCCTACCGCTTGAGGGGCCTGATTGTTTGCCCCGGTCACCGTCCAAAAAACTCGGGTGACACTACTGATGATGAAGAGCCGACGCAACCAGTTCAACGAATGACACGCAGTCGATCCAAGACGAACGAGGTGTCAGAGTTATCGTAGGCGTAAGCCCAATACGACGCGTTGCCTAATGCTGTTGCGGACCTTGTGGAAGGGGTCGCATGAGATCGTGGTGGAACACGCACAATGATTGATCCTCGTAGCGTCAAGGGCATGTCCTTCTTGATGGCGTTAACGATAGGAAGATGCACGTTGGCGTGCTCACAGTGGAAGAGGCTCTTACGGGAGTTGCCAGGGAACGGTACCGGAGGCAAGGCCTCGACAAGAAGATTTTGGTCGCTGCGCTTTCTCTTACGAGGGAAGGGGACGGACTGGGACTTTTCTGCCGCCATCGTGGCGAGACAGGCTGCGTGGGAGCGGTCGTAGAGGCCGCCATCACGACGGCGTGCAAGAGCACATGAACCTGGGACGCCCCATCTCCATGTCGCTGCCACTTCGCGTCGGGTGCCTGCGGTCGACTCCATCGCAGATCGTGAGGTCGGGCGTCGTCTTCTCCAGGAAGCAGTGGCCATGCTTGTCAATCGTGATGCAGTTCATCGTCGGGTTGCAGTCGGAGCGTTGGATGCTGGACGAGCTTTGTGCCTGGATTTCACGCACGCGCGGATTGATTCACCTACGGATCCGATGATCTGATGGAAAACACGCCGTATGATTGGTGGAATTTTTTTCCGTGTGGCCCCTGCAACCAATCAGTGCATTTACGACAATTCACAACGGCCAATCACCGATAGTCCTTTCAACACACTATTTACGTCGCTTGACGTATCCCATACTATTTCCGTGCCGAGCCATTGCGAATCGCTCGTCTTGGCCGCAGCATGCTCGCGACCCGCCACATCTCCGCGCTGCGGGGCACAATTCGTCGGTCGTTCTCCGTGCTCAACGGCATGTCGGACGATCTCTTGATCAGGTAGCACGTTGATGCTTGCGCCTACGATGGGCTCAGCTGCTTGCGACAGCATGAACATGGGCCACTCGATCGGTGGCACGTCGCAAGCGAGCTTGGTCGAGAGCCTAGTCAAGGCCGGTGTCCTCACGACGCCGCGTGTGCAAGACGTATTCCGGAAGCTAGATCGCGGCGACTTTACGCTGCACCCGTCGCCACCCGAAGACACGTACGCGAACCGACCGCTCAAGATCGGGACCATCGCCACGATTTCGACACCGCAGCAGCACGCGCAGGTACTGCCTACGCCAGCTCGATACACTTGCACATCGTTTGCGCCGAATGGCGTAGGTCATTGAGCTGCTCGAGCCGCATCTCCAGCCAGGCCATCACGCGATTGACGTCGGGTGTGGGTCGGGCTACCTCACCGCGGCGATGGCGCTCCTCGTCGGTGACGCCGGGCGCGTCACGGGCGTCGACATTGTGCCGTCGCTCCTCGAGCTGTCGCAGCGCAACGTCGCCAAGGCCAAGCTGCAATCGACGATTGCGTGGGAAGCGAGCTCGGGCACGTCGTCGATTTTGGCACCCGGCGTCACGTACGACTGCATCCACATTGGCGTTGCTGTTGAGAGCATGGACCATGTTGACGCGCTCGCGAGCCAACTCAACCCGAACGGCGGTCTCGTTGTCGCCCTGGGCTACGCTGGTGCTGAGCAAACCCTTTTGAAGGTACCGCGAGTAGCACCTACTTGGCATTTTCCCATCTTCTTGTGCTATGTAGGTGTCTAAATCGGAGGCTGGCGAGATCACAAAGCGTGCGGTCATGAGCGTTCTGTGTCAGCCGCTGTTGAACGAGGCCCCCGCCGCGCTGCCACCACCGGAAACTCGCACGGACAAGCTCCGCCGTGTCCAAGCTGAGCTGGAGGCGTGGAAGGAGGCGTTTGAAGCGACGCACCAGCGCGCGCCGACGCGTGATGACATGCTCAACGACGCCGTCTCCAAGGAGCTCTTTACGCAGTTTGCCCGTCTTCGCAAATGATGAGAGATGCAGCAATCCTGTGCTTTTCAATACAGTGTTTGAAACAGTGTTTTCGCAAGTTGGAACGGTCGCCAGAAGAAGATTGGGGTACATGAAGCGGTCCCTGCGGAAGCTGGGCGGCGACGCGGGGAAGGCGCCTCAGCCCATGGCCGCGGCCGATTCCATTTCCAATGACACGGACGCGTCTCTGGCTTACTGCATCAAACGTGCTCGGTATCGCATTGACCCGATGTGTCTAGGCGACCGACGCTGAAATCGCGCAAGTCGTTCCGGGACCTCGTCCCCAAGCGGTCGCCGCCCAAGCAGCACGAAGAGTACGGTATTTATACAAGCGTTTGATCTTCAATGTCGAGGTTCCCACCATGGGATCGTAGAAAGGCGTCGTTGAAAGACGAGAGCTCGGCCAAAGACACTATTGTGGCCACGTGAGCACTCCGTGTACACGTTACGGAGTCAACATATTTGTGTTAGCGAGTCCAAACCACCTCCCGGCGCACAAGACGGCGCGAGCACATCGCCGCAACGGCTGCAACGCAACAGGTTGCGTCGTGAACCTTAGTGAACACGATGTCGAATGGATTTACGTAGCCCGTCGAGCAAGTCGTTTCGCAACATGCTCTTTGGCAAGAAGGATCCTCGTAGGTACGTAGGAAGTGTTGCAAAGTTGCCAAATATATCATGCTTCTAGTGACCACGCCCCATCCGCCGACGCCAACGGTATGTGCGGTCGGTCGACCTCTTTTTCGGCCGTCTTTAATTTAAAGAGGACCCTACCTAGCTGCCCGAGACGAAGCTCCATTGCCGTCCGCGTATACATTTGATATGACGGCGGTATGTGTTGAGACCGTATCTGCTCCTTCGTAGGCTAAGCATGGCAGCAACACACAACGACAGCGACCCAGCGTACACACACAAGCCTGCATGGCATTTTCACCTTACCCTAACCGCGTAGCTCAACGCCGAGCGCGACATTGACAATGGACAAGAACGCCGGTACTCCTTGGAATCTTACATGGGAATATAGCAACACAAAGCTAGCCGAATCGGACCGCCAGCCGCTGCATCGTGTGCGTAAAGACGCGGGCTCCGCGGTCCTTCGAAAAGTCACGCCACAGAACCAGCCCGAAGTGCACCTTCTCGGCGACCTCGTCGGCGGCTCAGGCTTTGAAGCTGGAGTCGGCTACGTGTGCAAGTGGCGAGTCGACTATGGCGAGGCGTGGCAACACGTGTGTGGCAAAGAAGTTGGCCAAACCCACGTCGACACACCGAGCACCGGCGACGATGTCATTTGGGCCCATCCCATCGATGTGCTCTGGACGACCTTTTCCATGCAGGTGAAATGCCACGAAAGCTACCGCTCTGGCTCCGAACGAGCTGTGGTAGGGCTGGCCGCGACTGCTTGTCCAAGTGTGGACCGTCGACGAGCACGGTGGGGCACACGTCTGCGGGTACGGTTTTTCCCACGTGCCGTCGTCGCCGGGGCACCACCTCGTGACGATTGGACTTTGGCGCCCCTTGGGCTCGGAACATCAAGAGCTGGCAGGTAGACGGCTCGACTGTCGCGAGGCGTGTGCGAAGAGAACTGTGGTTAGCACTCTTTTTGGGCCAAACGACGGAGCTTCTCTGCGACGACGTCGTGTTCAACAGCGCGTGGGCAGATCGGTGCCGGCTTCGCACCATCGCATCAGGCCAGGTACGGCACAGCAGCGTGGACCGTTCTGTTCCTCATGTGTCCCAGGTGCATTTCGAGCTCCACGTCATTCTGCGCCACTTCGCCGTCGAGGCATTCCGCTTTTAGATGCCTGGATAAGAAACAACAAGGTTTCGAATCCCATTTGGGGTTGGTGTGGATATATATAGCAAAAACTAGCAAACGTGTGTCCATGTCGCTTAGATGAGGGCGGCGCGGATAAGCTCGTCAATCTAGCAAATGAGAATGGTCAGGAAAATGAATGCGGGTCTGAAGGCGGTACCTTTTCCCACTTGGACCCCGTGTAGTCCTTGAGGATCGCGCCCGACTTGTAGATCTTGAAGGTCGGGAGCGCCGAGACGTTGAGGTCCATCGCGAGCTCCTCGAACTGCGTCGTGTCGAACTTGGCGAACGTCACGTCCGTGAGCTCCTTGGCCAGCTTGACGAGCTTCGAGTGCACGAGCTTGCAGTTGCCGCACCACGGCGCGCTGAACATGACGACGGTCACGTTCTCGGCGTCAATGAGCTTGGCAAAGTGTTCTTCGCTTTCAACAAGGACGAGGGCGGACATGGTAGTTGGTGGGTAGGCGTCAAATGGCAAACTGAGGTTATTCCCTGGTGTCCTCCTCGTATATATGGATTTGTATAGTATACAGCAACCAAATTCGTGCGTCGCGGCCTTTCTGAAGTGCATCCGGATACTCGACAGCGATGAGTCGCGAACGTCATGTCGCGCCATCCAATCCCAGGTTGTCTATACTCACGCCACTGCACACCCGTCACTATGTATTACCTGAGCTATATTACCTGTGCTGTGTACCGTCAAACGATCCGCCTTTACCGTCCCATATCAAAATGTCTTTGGCCAGGCGCGCACGTCAACGTGGCATGTAGACAGATCATGATGGCGGGATACCCAAGCATATCATTGCGCTGCTCGAAACTCCCATATTGTTTTACCTATTTTCGTCCAGGCCTGATTGACGATATGCAAAGTTGATTGACGATATGCAAAGTTGCGTGCAATTAGATTACTGCCAGCATGGAACGCTATCGGAAAGATCGCGAACCGCGCGATGGTTCCCGAAGTCTGGAAGTAGCTACACGACCGTGTCGGTGGCACCGTACATGGCCGACTTGCCGGCGCGCGTCGGTGTCATCGTGCGCAGGAGCTTCTTGTAGCCTTGCTTCCGGCTGCGCTTGTGCTCCATGCTGGAGCGCATGCGCTGGAGACTCGGCGACGCGTACATGGGCGACGTGGACAGATTGTCTTTCCCGCGCGTTTCCTTTTGCGAATGGTAGACCACCATCCCCATCTAGTCGACGCGTAAATGAGATTTGCTCGATCGAATATGGACAAGATGTCGACGTACCACAATGATGAAGAGCGCAAACCCATCAAAGATGGTGAACGCCTGGGACGCCTTGGGGCCCGCGATGAACGGGATCATGTACAAAATATCGGTGAGCGGGAGGCAGACCGCCGACGAGATGACGAAGAGCACGCTGCTGCCCTCCTTGAAGACGTACATCATGAGCTAGTATGCAGACATAAGACGATCGTGCCCATGCGATGACGGTCAACTACCGTGTTGAAGACGATGTTGAAGAGGATGTACTGGAGAAACGTGGGGAAGATATCGGTGGAGCACGCCATGTCCGTGTCATGGAAGGTCACGTTGCTGCCAAAGAAGCAGCTCGTCGCCGACTGTAAATACGCGGGAAACTCGTGCCAGTCAACGGCCGGGTCGGAGAACGCGGGCAACTATCTTCATATGTCAATTTTGCGCACAAGAAACACGAGAGAGACGCTACCCGAATCGTCCACATTGTTGCGATTCCCCAGCACACTTGATATGTGCTGACCCAGGCGTTCGCGTACCAAATGTCCAAATCGACGTCCTTCAAGCCAATCTCCTTGTAGACTATACACACACAAGATTTCTCGTCGGGTTGCCATAAAAGGAGCGTATGTACCATTCGAGGTCGCAGCAGGCACCATCGAAAAGACATAGAGGAGGAGCCAGCCAAACGACGGATCTGGCGAGTTCAAGGCCACTTCGCCGCGGAAGATCGGAATCATGCACACGAGCGCGCCGTAGAGCACCATGGTGGCACCGATGATGTGCGACCGCTCGTAGCGTGTTTGAAGAAACACCATCGACAGCAGCATGTTGAGCGGTAGCGTCACTTGCCCAAGGACATTGGCCAAGTTGCCGCTAGTACGACCGCCACGTTAGTAGATGGTGCTATCGAGGACGTTCGAATGCGGTACCCAATGTGCGGCATCGGCAGCGTCGCGAGGAAGCTGCTGGCCATGTCCAAGAAGGCCATGATCGCAAACTTGTAATGGGGAAAGGCGCGCATCTCGGGCGTAATGTCGTCTAGCAGTACCGCATAAGGCATCCTTTCCAGAGCGTTCGGATGGAGAAACCTGTTTTACGGAGCTTGTAGATCACGATGGGCCACGAGATGGAGAGGAACGAGACGGGGCAAATGATGTTGGCGAAAAACCACAGGAACGGTGTATACTCGTACGTGATGCGGCTAGTCGATTCGCATGAGCGACCCAGAGACTCGAGTCCACAGGAGGAGGAGGATGTACGTGTTGAGGACACGGTCGATGCATCGGGCCAGGACGAGCGCGACGACGGCAAGCACGAGCTTGGATTCGAGCACGAGCTCCCGCAAGCCCATTCTGCTTTCGGGTATGGAACGAATTGGCCACTGATCTTCGATGCGGCGACGAAAAGTGCAAAGATATCTTAGACTCGCACTCAGTATGCCAAGATCGTCACACGACCGTTGTTTGTTCGCAAGCGTTGCCACATCGCCCGACGAGGATGATGCGACCGACGGCGCTGGTATCTTTGGCGGGGTTTGGAGCCCCAAAGGAGCAGCATGTATTCCTGACCCCGCTTTGTTCAAGCTTCAAAGAGAACACCCTCTCAGCTCTACTACCATGTGATACCTGATGGGATCTACGGTAGGATGCTTGCGATAGAGAAGACAAGGCGCTTTCGCGCTATAGAGACCAGAATTGGAAGATTCTTTTGGTGGATCCAAAGGACCTTAGACGTGATCTTCCTGCGCGATCGCGCCGTAGGTGCCGCCCGAGTAGGACCGCTGCTTGGTCTGCTTGATCGCTCGCTTGTGCTGGAGGTTGCTCTTGAGCTTCTGGACGCTCGGCGACGCATACATGGGCGACTTGGTGACCCGGTCGTTGCCCGTGCCGCGGATTTCCTTTTCGGAATGATACACGAGCATGCCCATCTAATCGAGTCAGTTGAGTGTCCTTGCCGCGAGCCGAAGGGGATACGTACGACAATGATAAAGAGCGCAAAGCCGTCAAAGATCGTAAACTTTTGCGACGCACGGGGACCGGCGAGGAAGGGCACCATGTACAAGAGATCCGTGAGCGGGAGGCAGACCGCCGACGAGAAGACAAAGAGGACGCTGCTGCCTTCCTTGAAAATGTACATCATCAACTACGCAAGCCATACAAATAATCGTCAAGCGGGCGTGTCGAAGCGCGATCAGTACCATGTTGAAGGCGATGTTGAAGACGATGTACTGGACGTAGATGGTAAAGATGCTGCCATCGCACGTCGACGTGACGCCGTTGAACGTGACCTCGTTCCCAAAGAAGCAGTTGTGCGCAGCCTCGACGTAGCTCGGAAAATCAGCCCACTCAACCGTCGGGTTGGAGAACGCTTGGATCTAGTTTCGCAACGAGTGTGAGACAAAGCTACGAAGAGTCTGGCACCGTACGCGGATCGTCCACATGGTCGCGACGCCCCACAGAAGCTGGTACGTGCTCACCCACGCGTTGGCATACCACACGTCGAGGTCGACGTCCTTGAGGCCGATTTCCTTGTACACTAAGAAAGACAAAATAAGAAACAAATCAGAAATGAAAATGGAAAGCGTACCATTGGCGCCAGCGTTCGGGACGCACGAAAACACAAAGAGGAGGATCCAACCCACGCTCGGGTCCGGCGAGTTCAAAGCGACTTCGCCGCGGAAGATCGGAATCATGCACACGAGCGCGCCGTAGAGCACCATGGTGGCACCCATGATGTGCGCCTTCTTGTACGACGTCTTGAGGAAGAGATGCGAGAGAATCATCGTGAACGGAAGGTTGACTTGGCCAAGCACGTTGCTGAGGTTCCCGCCAATGTGCGGCGTCGGCACGGTCGACAAGAGGTTGGCCGACATGTCGAGAAAGGCCATGATCGCAAACTTGTAGTGCGGGAACGCCTTCATTTCCGGCGAAATGTCGTCTAAGTCGCACGTCAATCTCATATTTTACATACGACAAAGACGGAAAATGCGTACTCGTGTAGCGCAGCTTGTACCACACGACGGGCCATGCGAAGAAGAGGAAAGCGATCGGGTTGATAATGTTGGAATAGTACCACAAAAATTGTACGAATTCGTACGTGATGCGCCTAGAAAACCACCAGAATTATTTTCATCGCGTTGGAACAACATTGTCGTACGTGTTGTAGACGCGGTCCACGCAGCGCGTGAGCACGAGCACGAGAAGGGCAATGCCGAGCTTGGACTCGGACACGAATTTGGCGACGCCCATGTGTCCTTCCTGGTGCAAATTGGCGACTGCAGTCGCAGTTGAAGTACCAATTGAGAGTAATGCCCAGTGAATCGAGTATATTAATTTGCGGTCGCCATACAAAACAACAGATATCTTTGGTTGGTGCCATTTTACAAGATGGTGCCGGCTCTTTTGGATTTCACACCGTGGGATTTGATTGGGACCAGACATTAGCGTCGGCCACGCAAGGTGAAAAACAAAAATGGAACGTTCCGACGTGTAAAAGCACGGTGTCGACCACCGCCGCGATGCCATTGGCTACAGACCTGGATACGATCGGAGGAGGGAACGGTCGGTTCCCGTGGCACCTTCTGCTACCGATACCTTTGCTGGAGCGAGCAAGGCGAGCGTCATAACTAAGCGGATTAGTGCTGCGCAGGGCTGGCTACTGCATGCCAGCCGCCTCGAGTGTCGCGGCGAGCGACAATTCAGCGCGCCTTTCGTACGCAGCTGCGGTACAAGTAAGCGCGACGATAGCCAGGTGCGGCGCACCGGTATGTCGACGCAGCAAGGGCCATAAAGGAACGATGCGTCAGGAAACTCAGCTGCGTCAAGTGTCACTGTGTCCAGGACACCTTGCAAAACGCCCGACGAGCGAGCTGGATCGGCTCTTCCTCTTTTGCGCCAGATCTTGAAGCCAACGAATGCAATGTACACCGTCACTGCCCTCGTCGACTCGGCGTGCGTGTGTAGTCCGATTGATTGTTACATGCCGTGCTCGCACGCAAAAAACGTTTGTGTTCAAGTCAAAATATTGTGTATTGAACAATTGATAGTTCACTTGGCACTCTAGACAATATTGTCGTCGGTTGCCGCAGCCGCGCCGTACTTGGACCGGTGCGGCGACGCGAGCTTCTTCTTGAAGGCCGGGATCTGGCGGTAGTTGCCGGTGCGCTTCCCGCGCATGATCTGTGCTTGACGCATGCTGGGCGACGAAAACATGGGCGACTTGGCCAGGAGCTTGCCGTCGGCCGTGTCGACGCGCTCCTCCTTCTCCGAGTGGTAGATGAGCATGCCAATGATGAGGATGAAGAGCGCAAAGCCGTCAAAGATCGTAAACGACTGCGTCGCTTGGGGCCCCGCAAGGAACGGCACCATGTACAGAATGTCCGTGAGCGGGAGGCAAACTGCCGACGAGACGACGAAAAGGACACTGCTGCCTTCCTTGAAGATGTACAGCATCAACTGCACAATCCGTCACATGAGCCCATGCCTCGACGACGAGGACAATAATGTACCTGGTTGTAGACGACGTTGAAGAAGATGTAGAGAAGGAACGTCCCAAAGACGCCTTGGTCACACGCAATCGTCTTGCCACCAAACTCGGCGGGATTGCCCAAGAAGCACTCGTGGGCCTGCGTGACGTAGTGCGGAAAGTCCATCCATTCCACGGGCGGGTCGCAGAACGCGTCAAAGCGGATCGTCCAGATCGTCAAGAGGCCCCAGCCCACTTGGTAGAAGCTGACCCATGCGTTCGTGTACCAGATGTCCAAATCGACGTCCTTCAAGCCAATTTCCTTGTAGACTAGATGCATCCAAACCAGAAATCAGACGACAGAACGCGTTGTGGCCAATGCGTACCGTTGGAGCCCGCGGCCGGAAGAAGGCTGACAATGTAGAGAAGGATCCAGCCGGCGGTCGGGTCGGGCATGTTGGCCGCGGCTTGACCTTGGAAGACGGGGATCATGCAGACGAGGGCACCGTACAAGACGAGGACAGCGCCAAGGATGTGCATCTTCTTGTAGCGCGTGGCGAGGAAGATGAACGAGAGCACCATGTTGAACGGCAGGTTGAGCTGGTTGAGCGCGTTGGCGAGGTTGCCACTACGACAAAATTTTATGGGTCCAAAATCGAGGAAAACAAAGCAGACAATACCCAATGTGCGGCGTTGGGAAGGACGAGAGGAGGTTGTAGAGAGTGTCAAAGAGACCCATGATCATGAATTTGTAGTGCGGGAACGCGCGCATTTCGGGTGTGATTTCGTCCGTAAACCACATTTTGTACCTGCAAATCACTCAATTTGAGCACGCGATTCGCGCGTAAGAGAGAGGTTACCACACGACGGGCCACGACGTGACAATGTACGAAATCGGGCAAATGATGTTGGCAAAGTACCATAAAAAGTCATTGTACTCGTACGTGATGCGCCTACGACGGAGGATGTTGAAGATACATTGATGAAAAAGCGAGTACGTGTAGTAGACGCGGTCGACGGTCCGCGAGAGGATCAAAATGACGAGCCCGACCGCGAGCTTGGACTCGGTAAACCGCTTCCACATGTGTGCACGACGCTTGCAATTGCCAAATGCACCGGAACGCGCGGGATGGTTCACGTGTGACACACACTTTCAATTTAGACAAAAAAGGGTGCGTTGCATGTTGCAGGAGGCGTCCACAGACGACCATTTGCCGAGCGACAGGCGCCGTCGATGGAACCATCAAGCACCTGCCACCGTACAGTCATACTCGAGTACATACTACGTACTTGGTATCAGAGTACTACTAGCCCTGACGCCACACAACAGTCGCGTTCCTTCGATTTTCGGTCGTGCTACGCAAGGATACAGACTCCTCTCTCGGTGCCCTTGCGAATAGTGCACCGGCACCCACAGCTCGACCATTAAATACGATGTAAAATGATGCAGCGTCCCGCACACGATGCAAGACGCATGACGAGGGCAGCGTCTTGGCGCGACCGTGTACCCCGCGAAAGAATGCGGGATACCCTTTTTCGACATTTCGTTTTGTGTGGCGTAGCCTGCTCAAGCTTGGAAAATGCATGTGGTCTCTCAAGCCAAGATGTTGCTGGATCGCTGGGCGTTGAAGGTCGGCGCCAACTTCAAGCGTGTGTGATTGGAGCCACTGTGTCGACCGTGCGAGGGCTAGGCGTCGGCTCGTTATGGAACCTTCGAAATCATCGGAGGCGCGGCTTCAACACCACCTCTTGCGATACTGCATTGCCGTTTTGAGCGCATTAAATCGAAGGCGTCGACGCGTTGGAGTGTTAACTGCGAGCTTGTCACCCCCACCATCGAACCCTCCTTAGCATTGGAGCAGGATGGATAGGCAGTTGCTTTTTGCGTGTATACTGGTGATAGCAGGTTCATCGTAGTTTGCGTTGATGACTACAGTTTAGTCTGCTCTCATAGTGAAAGGGTGGCGAGCAGGGTGCAGAGGGACGTCGTCTTCGAGTTTGACGGGCTCTGGCTCGTCTTACCAGTGCTCGAGCCACGTCCACTACAGTGTCGTGAACGGGTTGGTCTCAACGATGCTAAAAATCCCTACTAGTACCTCCAATAGCATTGGCGCTGTGAAGAGAAGAGTGGAGGACGATATGTGGGACCCAGTAAGTAGTGGTGGTGCGACCGTAGAGAATCGTGTCGCCAGTACCAAATGGGCTTGCGTAAGGAAAGGGCTGGAGCAGAAATGCAATACAATGCGCGATGCTGCCAACTGGCAGCCGCACGAGCCGCAACCGATCCTCACCGCCCTCACTCGCCAACAGCAGAATTGCAGCTGGACAATTTCATGGCGCGCAGGCTTCGAACTTGTGCTTGGTCGCATCCTTGACGGTTTTCAGTCCTTTTTCCCACGGACAAACTCTGGCGCAGAAGGGTTCTTAAACCGTCACTGGTGCACGAGGGAGGACCCAAGGACTTCGCACTACCCAATATCCGGCGCGGTGTGGGAGTCGTTGCCGGGTTGACACAGCGCCGACACGAGATCGTCGTCGACCAAAGTGGCTTGAATTGCACTGCAAGTGGCATATATAGCTGAGCCTGGAGCTCCTCCGGTCCTCTGGTTGCTGCGTCTCTGGCAGCAAGAGTGTTTGAAGCTCAAGATGACGACGTGTAGGCGATCGTACAGGCGTCTAATGCTTGTGTCTTATTTCTTCTATTACAGTAAGTTCCTTTACTCGGCGGCAGTCTCAACGGGCGCCGTTGCCTGCGCCTTGAGCGCAAGCTTGCGCGCCTTGGTCTTGCTAATCGGCTTCGAGGCCGGGTCAAACTCTTCGAGCACAATCGTAAGGTGGCTGTGGGGGCGGTGCTTGATGCCAGAGCGACCGCGACCCATGATCTTCAGGCGCTTCAAGAAGAGGCCCTTGTTGACAAAGGCCTCGGCGACCTTGAGGTTCGAGGGCTCGATGCCAAAGTTGATGTCGGCAAGGTTGATCGCGTTCTGGACCGTCTTCTTGACAATGGCGGCCTTGCGCTTGGGCGAGAAGTGCATCTGCGTAAGCGCCTCCTCGGCCGGCAAGCCGCGGATCTGCTGCGCGAGCAGCGTCAGCTTGCGCGGGCTCACGCGGATCTCCTTCTTCATCGTGCGCACCGTGCGGAAGTTGTCCGCCGCATCTTCCAACGACGGAAGCGCAATGTCCTCGGCGGCCGTGGACATGGCACGGAGCGTCGGCATCATCGGCGCCTTGAGCGAGAGCGCAGCCATGCTGCGGACCAAGGAGAGACGGCTCAGCATCGTCGTCGTCGTCGGGGAAGGAAAATGCAAAACCACAAAACAATGGACGGGAACCAATCGATATCCGGATGTCGATATCCGGAAATCACCGAGCTAAGAACACGATGTATCATCGCGTTGGGTGCTGGCACTTCAATTCTACTAGCCGCTCGCAATGCCATCGTAGCTCGCCACCTTCCATCAGCCTGGTCGAGCCTGCACGTTTGCACGAGGTACACTAGCTGGAGCTGCCACTGCACCCATGCTCCATGGACCGTTGTGGGTACGCTGAAGCTTCTTGGTCCCGTGCCAGCGATAATGCTGTACCTAACCTGCAACGTTTCGGCTGTCGGCAAGATGGTCGGATCGCCGTTCTTGGCCATGGCGCTCACCACAACGAGCGACCGCATCACATAGCAAAGACCATCCGCTCTTTGGTCTGTCGGCGATGTCAAGGGTTCGACGACGACAGGATGCATGTACTAGTTTGGATCATTCTTGGCTGGTCGCTACGTCTCGGACAGCACTGCTGCATTGCAATATGCATGACAAGGTGGTCCTGTCGCTCAAGAGTATTCTTGGTGCTTCCTAGGCGATGCATGCATCATCGGGACGAGAGGCTAGTTTTTGGGATGGTCTTTTTTGTATGGCATAGAAAGAGTGAGAAGTCGCGATGTTAGAAGGGTGCGGTGCGCTGATTGGTGGAGTTTTAGCCAATCGTTGACGACGCACACCACTGGAGCCGATTTAAAGCGTGATCGAATTAAAATGCGCTATATTGAGGTTGAATGGAATCCAGTCATTTTCGGTCGGGTATTTTATTGCCCATTTTCCATATTGCGGGGTTCCTCGTCGCTTGGATCGTCGCCGTAGATACCTCGTCGTCTCTCTGTCTACCTCGACATCCGCAGCAGCATGAGTACCTCTTCCTTGGCCTCGCAGCTCCATGCGCTCCAGGTCCAGACGACGGGCGCGTCGTCGCAGCGGAACATCGCCTCGTTCCTGCACGAGCCCAAGGTCGCGGCCAAGATCGATGGCCGCACGACCTTTGAGCTGGCAAAGAGTGCGATGGAGACGCTGTGCAGCATGGACGGGTCGCTGGATGTGTTCCAGCACACGCTATTGCACCCGAACAAAGCACATGCGCAGTACAGCCGGATGCTGCTGACAAAAGAAGAGGTCGTTGCACTTGACCTCGAGCTCGGCTTGCTCCTCGACGCGCTCTCGCCCTACTTTCTCTTGCCGCCTACACATCAAGTCATCGAGTTTCTCGTGCGCAAGTACGAGATCCACGTCTGGAATGTCGACCAGATCCTCGCGATGACCATTTGCTACCACGAATCGCCGGTCTTTGCACGCCTCATTACGATCTGCGACTTGGCCAAGCACCCGCGGTGGGCGTTCCTCGAGCACGTCAAGACCAACAACGTCCCGCTCCTCCGCGCCAACTTGTCCAAGCGCTGCTTTGCCGACTACAGCCTCGTGAGCTTTCTGCACACGGCCGCCGTGCGCATTGGCGCGCGCAACGCCAAGCTCATTGCGCTCTACGCGCTCGTGGCCATGGAGATCCTCGAGAAGAGCCGCGTGTCCGAGAACATTCTGCGCTGGGTGCTGCCCAACATCATCGACGGCCTCAAGGACAAGTCGTTTCCGGAGCGCCAAACGGCCGCGTACATGGTCGCCACCAAGCTCACGACGCATGCCACGCTGTCGCCCGCTGCGCGGCAGCAGCTCGTCGTCGTCATTGCCAAGACGGCGCCGGCGCATGCGCAGTTTGACGCGTTCCTCTGCCTCATCGGCGTGCTCCAGTCGCAGCCGTTCGAGACGTTTCCGACCGAAGCGCTCAAGCACATTTTCAAGTTTGACGACGTGCCGCAGCTCGTCATGGACGCCATGGAGGCGTACGACACGACCAAGTTCCTCGCGCTCTTTCTGGATGCGGTCGCGCTGGCCCACACGCACGCCACGTCCGAGCAGCTCTTTCTGGATCTCATCAACGCTCTCGGCCAGATTGTCGCGCCGCTCGTTGCGTCGCTCGTCCGGTCGATGCTCGCCGCCGCGCACTCGACGCCGTCGGTCGCCGACCGCCTCCAGCGCCTTCTTCTCGTCCTCTCGAAGCGGTACCCGGAGCCCTTCGACGCCGGGCTGAACGCGATGCTGACGGACGCAGGCCTCGACAGTGATCTCCAGTCGTTCTGCGTCAACTTTGTCTCGACGTCGTTCACCGGCACGGCCGCGGCCATGCACGTGCCGCTCGCGGAAAGCGGCGTCTCGCTTTTGCTGTCACTGGACCACCCGACGGTCTCGGTGCGTCTGCATGCGCTCAGCGTGCTCGCCGAGATGGACGCGGCGGCGCTCGAAGACCCAGACGTGCTCTTGCGCCGGCTCAACGATGACGCACCGAGCGTCATTGTCGCGGCGCTTGTCCCGGCGGTCGCGACGCTCTTGCTTCAGACGGCGTCGGCCACGCAGCTTTTGGATCAGATTGCTATCTCGCTCAATGCGCGCGCGTTCAACAGCGCGTTCGCGACGGCGATGACGGCGCTTGTGACGTTTGTGACGGGCCCGTTCCGTGACATCCATGGCGCGGCATACGACGCGACGCTTCTGGACATGCTGCTTGTCTTTGCACCGCAGTCGACGATCGTCGCGACCAAGCCGGTCGTGGCGTGGACCACTGTGGCGCCGCTCATCGCGACGCTCTCGGTGTCGCCCTTTACCAACGGTCTCTCGAAGACGACGACGACCGACGATGTGCTCGGTCACTTTGGGGCGCAGACGACGCTGGCCGCGGCGCCGATCGTCGAAGCGTGGGCCGTGCCGTCCGTGCATCGCCACACGCCG